AGGGAGAGGAGAGGAGACAAGGAGAGGTAAGGAGAGTAAACAGGGAGGAGAGTAAACAGGGAGAGGAGAGGAGACAGGGAGAGGAGAGGAGACAAGGAGAGGTAAGGAGAGTAAACAGGGAGAGGAGAGTAAACAGGGAGACGAGAGGAGAGGAGAGCAAACAAGGAGAGGGGCGGAGAGGTGATTAGGAGAGAAAAGAACAATAAACAAGGAAATGAGAGAAGAGGAAACTGAGGCGACTGTCGGACCGGTTTGCACCGCACTGTAAAAAAACACTCATGTGAACGCCACACACAGCTGCATAACATGTGTAAATATCAGATATGGAAACTCAAGGACTGGAGCACAGCCTGAAAAGAAGACGGACGAGCAGGGAGCGAGCCGTGGCCGAGAGAAAGACGGAGTGAGCGGAGGAGAAGCGGCGGTGCCATTACCAGCCCGCTAAGGCGGCTGAAACAAGGCGCTAGCGGGGCATTAGCATCCCTCATCGCGACAGCAAATCACTTCCGCGGAGTGAACCTATTAAAACCCGGGCCCCGAATTAAAATATCCAAAGCCTGTCAAATGGTCGTCTCCCCACCACAGAGGGCTCAGTGCTGTCGATGCCTCCAGAGAGGGGATGAAGACTGCTTGATATTGATTCACCCGCAGCGGAGGGTGTGTGTGTGTGTGTGTGTGTGTGTTTATATTAGACGAGCGCCGACACTATGGACCTTGGCGCAGGAGCCCTGGCTGCCCGGAGAGGCGCCCTAAGTGGGATTTGAGAGAGCCGATGCGTTGGCAGGGATGGAAGATCATTACTCCAGATTTGTCCCAAGGTCCCGTCACTCTCGGCTTCTGCTCCGCGAGAACTGCTGCGCTTTTTTTGCGTTGACGCCGTGGATCAGCACACACACACGCACACACACACTTCGGTGGTCGGAACATCTCAAACTGCTATTTTGGTGCATTTCATATTAAAAACTCGTATCAGAGGAGGTGCTTCTTCTTAAAATGAAACGTCCTATTAAATGGGGGTGTTTGTTGAGTGTCGTCTTTCTTCTGTGGTGTCAGGATGACGGAGCGGGACTTAGCGGTTTAAAAATGCATGCTAATGGCGGACTCGCTGTCGCAAAGTCTGGAGTCGTCTCTCTCACACACACGCGAGCTTCTTTGAAATTAATACATTCAAGCCACTTGGACCACAACCGGGACACTTGAAAATGTGACGCTCAAATGCAGAGACGTTTTCTTCATCTCCAGGAGAGCAGATGAGGTGGTTGGAGAGTGTGCTTTGTGTTTTTTTAGTTTACAGCCGTTTCCTCACCTGTCCCCTCCGGTCCAATTCTTCGTTCAGGTTCTTTGTCCTCCAGGGCAGGCGGGGACACCAATTCTCCACCTATCAAATAAAAAATAAAAAAAATGTAGTTTTCAGCATTTGCCAACCACAACACAGAAGTGTGTGCTTAAGAAAACGTACTCGCTCAAAGGCGTGCAGCGACACGTTTCAGTAGCTGTTGTTAAAGTGAGGCCTTGTTAGAGCCTATGGGGTGATATTAAAGTTTCTCTATTTAGCTGAGTGTACAGGTGGAACCAAGCAACACTTCATCTTCATGAGATCTGGTTGAGGGCTGTTATTTTTGATGCGTGTTGCAAACGTCTGGAGAGCAGCTGCTGAACTTGTGTTATGGCTTGAAGAGAACTACAAGAGTGTATCCATCCTGTGGGGTGAAGGCTGCATGTGAGGAGACATGCAGCGGTTGAATGCGTGTGGAAAATCGGTGCCTGGATTATTGCTGCAAACGGTGTACAATATCTATTGTGAGTATCACCGGCTGCTTCGGTCATGTCTTACTAGAAAACCTGATGATTCAACAAAAATACAAACCATATTGACACAGGACGGCATTCAGGGAAAGGAACAGTACAACCATGTGGAAAATGACCCGACAGAGACACGGCAAGACTACATAAGTCACTTTTCTCTCTCTCTCTCTCTCTCTCTCTCTCTCTCAGTCGCTGTATTGACTTGGCTACAGTCTCACTCCCTGTGTGTGTGTGTGTGTCTCTGATAAAACAGTGCTGCAGATTTCCAAATGTGATTCCCCTTTTGACCGTTTCCACGTCCAAAGCAGCGGTCGCAAATGCTTTGTAAATATTATCCATAGACCCCTGGAAGCAAACAAGGGGAAGCTATCACAAGACAAAAGGGAAGAGGAGAGGAGAGGAAACAGGGAGGAGAAAGGAGAGGAGAGAAAAAAAGGAAAGGAGAGGGGAGGGGACAAGGAGAGAAGAGTAAACAAGGTCAGGAGAGAAGAGTCAACAAGGAGAGGGGAGGAGACAAGAAGAGGAGAGAGGAGTAACAAGGAGAGGGGAGGAGACAAGGAGAGGAGAGAGGAGTAACAAGGAGAGGGGAGTAACAAGGAGAGGGGAGGAGACAAGGAGAGGAGAGAGGAGTAAACAAGGAGAGAGGAGTAAACAAGGAGAGGGGAGTAACAAGGAGAGGGAAGAGGAGTAAACAAGGAGAGGGGAGTAACAAGGAGAGGGGAGGAGACAAGGAGAGTAAACAAGAAGAGGGGAGGAGACAAGAAGAGGAGAGGAGAGAGAGTAAACATCAAGAGGAGAGGAGACAAGTAAAGGAGAGGAGAGTTAAGGAGACGAGAGTCTGAAAGGGTGGACGTTGACCCGTCTCGCTGTCATTACATGTGACGTAAAGTGTCTCTCTTCCTCAACGTCTGCTTCTCTGCCTCAGCATTTCCTTCCTGGTGTCTGACCACAGAGAGGAACAAGGAGAAGTGTGTGTGTGCACTTCTCCTCTCTGACCTCTGCATCGCGACGCGTTGCCCTCTCTTATTGCCCTCTCCGTGAGGTTAATGAGCTGGTGGACAGGTGCGAGTTATATGCCGCAAACGGTGAGCATTATCCGGAGCGAGGGTGCTCACAATAACTGCGGCGGACAGAGAGACCGATCGCAGCGGACCCTGCACGGAAATACAAATTTCAATGGCAACCGGGAGGTCACGTGGCTAAGGGCCGTTGGATGTTTTGAATCTCCTGTTTGTTTCCTGTAAAGTATCTCCATTCCGTAAACACCGGATGGACACGAACAGAGAAAGAAGAGGGTTTTTTTCCCCTAATGGGTTTTGCTGTTGTCCATCTAAATTCTATTTCCACACACACAGAGCAGGCCGGGCTCTCTGCGCGCTGTCTTTAGTTCACTGCAATGCTTTCAGCTCACATGCAATATTAATACCAGGCTACTGACTGAAGCTGAAGCCACGACTTGAAAATCGTACTTTTCATTTGAGAAAATAGCTCGCAATTCAGACGGGGATCCTCACTTGAATCGGCACGCAATGAGACGGACGGTTAAGATGGAAGCATCCAAATGAAACAGAATGGTCATCACGGCTGTGATCGACGGGGATCTTTGAATTGATGCATCGCAGTTGTGTCTGGTGAGAAGCAGAGACGTTTTCTAGATCTGAGAACATACGTATTTCTTGATTTGGCGGCGAACTGTCCCTCTAATTGGAATTAATGACAAATCATGCAAAATTAAAAGCCTTCAAAGTGTCCCTTGACGGAACACAAGCCTCTATATGTTAGCGCTCGTCAATAATACATGGCTCCTCCCCCGGCTGCTTTTTCCTGTTTGCCAGAGAAATGTGGAGACGACGACGGGGTGGCCAAGTCACTCCACGTCTCCCCTTGGAGGCTGAAAACCTCCTCTCCCTCCCTTCCCACTGAATCATCTCCCGCATCGTCCTCCTCAACGCACTCTAATTTGCTCTCATTAAAAAATGAAATCTCCTCTACCTCTCTGCGTATTTTTAGTGCTTTCTATGATTGTTCTCAGGTGACAGGGATGTAGTCAGGGCGCTCCGGCTCTGAACCGTCATTGTCTGTGCTAATCTGCTGCAGCGTTCCCACCTTCCTCTGCTCTTGTACTGAAACAGGAGCTGAGTTATTCAAAATGCTAGATGCAGATGTTCTATATCTTCTTCCTCTGTGCCGTAGAGCTCCATTGTTGTCCAAAAACTATTACTGAGCCACGCTGTTTACCAGGTTGACACGTCCCTTCATAACCCTGAACACACACACACACACACACACGTAGTTTATCTTGACTCAATCCCACACACACCATCCCGCTGCTGGAAATACCCACTGGTGCACCGAACGTGGATTAATCCGCAGCTGAAAATAGTCCCCAATAAATACGCAATTAACTCCCATTTGAGTAACATTTGCTAAAAACTACAGTACCCAGCTGATTCAGGGAATATAAGACTTTTTTTCCAAAATATAACTCTAAATCTTTGACACCATTTTTTTTAAAATTGACATCTGAGAGCCACAGACAGGGTAGGAAACTGAAACACTGATGGTTTTGGTCTTTTCGTGTTTTTAAGTTTAGCCAGAAATTTGTTTTTAAAATTGTTTCCCTTTGAATTTTATTTAAAACACGTCATGTTTGCCTGTTTTGAGTCAGCGCGTTAATTTGCATTTCTTTTGCGGTTCTTATGGAAATTCTGCTAAATTATGCATCACATTTGACTGGAATCCCGACTGGCGACTGCATCTTCTTATACCATTCCTCCCAATATGAAACTCTTCTGCAGACAAAACACCCTGAACAGTAGTTACACAGTATGGATGCTGTGATCAGTAAGATGTTAAAAAACACAGCCATTTGATGAGATTTACTTCAGTGATTTTTACACTTGCGACTTAAAACAACTCTATTGATTTCAAATCCACATTTACAGTGACCACACACACACACACACACACACACACACACACACACACACACACGGCTCACCTCGCTGAGGTAGATGAAGAAGGAGCAGGTGGACCCGTCCACGCCGTAGCTGCCGTAGCAGGAGTCCGTGCTCCACATCTCCTTCATCCACTGAGGAAGAGGAGGATGCGAGTTAATAGTAGTCAAATGTCCTTCATCAGCTGTTAAGTAACTCCACTCTGCCGTTCACATTGACAGCCAAACAACTGTCATTTGGGAGCTTTGTTTCCCCATTCTAATACTGGAGCACTTTGAATGGATGCAAAGAGAAAGTGAGGTTGGTGTTGCAGTTTACCAGCGGCTGTGGTGTGTGGGCAGGTTGTGTTGCTGGGAGAACACATTACGCACATTTAGGAAATCTACAGCGCCGGCTGCCTGTCTAGTTTTCCCTCTCCGGGTGGAAACAGTCCAGGCTTGTTTTTCGCGGCTCGGAGGTTGAGAGAGGCAGGACTGTGAGTGAAAGAGTCGCTGGCTTCAATCCCCGGAATCAAAACAGCAAAAAAAAAATCTGGGGCTTGAAAATAAGACCGAGACTGTGTGCCTCTCGGGGGAATACATGTGCAAGTCATCGAGTGGAACTGCTCCACGGCCAACAGGAAGAGAGAGAGGTTGTTCTGGGGGGGGGGGGGGATGTGTGGGAAAGAAATTGAGGTGAAAACAGCATTCTGGACGAATGAATCTCCCAGAATACATAATAGTAAGAAGCTAAAGAAAAGAGGGAGACTTTGAACTTCTGATTTCATCCCTAGCAGGCAGATTTTTTGCGGCACCGGGGATACGTGTGAAGTGAAGGGGCTTGTTGAGCCGCTGACTGATAGCTTTCCTGCATGGTTCATAGGCCCGGAGTGCATCACGCGTGCAGACTTACAGCAACCTAAGTGAGTGTAAACTCGAGTCTGCAGAGCCGCTCGCAGAGGGGAGACGTGGCAGATGGGCTTGGAATCAGACTCGCTTGGAATGGCGAAGACATGAAGATTGCACTGTATTTGCTTAAACGGCAACCTAAGAGCTCTCTAAAATAAGCAAATGGATTTGTCAGTTGTTATTAACTGTGTGCTGAGCGTAAAACTGCAGCGCAATAACAGTTAAATGAACAAAAACAAAGCAAGCTTGTGAACAGTATGTGTGTGTAGAGCAGGCTTTGGCATCGCCCGCCGCCCGGTCGGAAATACTGACAGTATCGGTGGAGGATTGGGACCGGCTGAGCAGATGGTGTGTATGATAGGGCCCTATCGGCTCCGGGGAGACCAGCACAAAAAAACAGACATCGGATTGAAATTGTGTTAATCGTGTGGATGCATGCACCCAGTTTAATATTTCCGTACACGGGCCATGGCGGTGAAATGAAATCATTGTTTATACTGTATTAGACACAGAGAGTGAGGTGGAGAGGCTGTGTGTGTATGTGTGTGTATGTGTGTGTGTGTGTGTGTGTGTGTGTGTGTGTGTGCGTGTGATTCACCGTGACTTTGCCCTCGCAGTGAGGGAAACCCTCCAAAGACGGCAGCTCACACTTCTCCTGGGCTCCGTTTAGAAGGTCTGAAAGGAAGAGGAGGAGGGAGAGAGAAAATCAATAAGGTCATCTCCAAACTTCCACCTGTTGTCTCCAGCGTCATCACAGCTCGCTGGCTTTCTTTAGAATACAAAGGAACCTCCAGTAGCTTGTACACAAGCGGCGAAAAACTGGCCCCTGGACCACAGATATTGAGTCATTGGGTCAAATTCACGGAAGTCGGGTTTCTCTTTCCTTCTTCATCTCTTAAGATTCGTAGGTGACATTCACGATCCCCAGAGGATGAATCGCATGACTTCGGTGGCCCCTGACCTTTCGTGTGGCGCCATCATCTGGTCAAAATCTTCCCTTCAACTGTGGTTGAACCAAATACCTGCGAAACTAATCACTCTATCAGCCACGGCTTTGCTTTGTGTTTAGCGCTAATTAGAGAAATGGTGGCATGCTAACGCGCTGTCGTCACTGCGAGCAACAGCCTGTGGTCTGATCTCAGCGCTGCAGACATGTTGCATCTCTGAATGACAGCCGGAGACCGCCCATTACTCTGCGGTCGGGTACGACTGTCAGCCAGCGGGATCACCTTTGACCTGGCAATGTGAACTCAGCAGGAGCAGAAACCACAAAGAGCTCAGAGCCCCACGATGATGCAAACACGGGCAGCTTTTAAGAAATGATTTTTCCCTGACCCGTTTGCTTTCTGCAATAAACAAATATAACGCAAGTGCAGTGGGGGAGGGGGTTTGCTCTGATGTCTTTCCTGAATTGCCTTCAATATCCCAGGAAGCCAATATCCGCGCCAGGATTAACATTCGCGGGCTATATAATCACCTTTTTTGATATCCCCATTCAGAGACGTTAACGTCCTCGCCGCTGACCTTTGCAAGGCGGAACATAAATAATGCATGACTGCAGGCTGTGCGGCGAATAGATAAAAGCTCAGCAGCAAACACCAGACCGATGTAATGAGCTTGTGGGTGGCGTTGCAGGAGGGTTTGTGTGTGAAGCTAATCAGCACTGGGTCAAGACTCTGTCTGGAGGGGGGGCGGGGCAGGGCAGAGGCTCCTGCATCATGTTCATCGTTGATTCAGTTCATTTACACCGACGAAGCTGCTGCAGCAAACTAACTACTGGTTAGCTTTTTTTTTCTCCCTCCTCTCTCCATCGCCTAGATTAGATGCAAGAAACATACTTCACCGACGCTCTCTGGGAGAGAATGACAAGATGAAAAGAGAGGTGACGGCATGCCACAGAGTGCTACGACAAAAAACTAAAAAGATCAGTGGGTTAGATGGAAAGCCACAGACACAAGTTCACATCCGCTGCGTTTTGCAACCTGCTAAAGACGTGTGTGTGTGTGTGTGTGTGTGTGTGTGTGTGTGTTTCCTCTGTTGTCGGTAAACAACAGGGCGGCGCAGACTGAGAGCTGTTAACAGGATCAATTTACACGCAACCGGATATCTTCAGCTTTTAACTGTCGGATGTGGCTACATAGCAACGTGGCATCGTCGACATAATGCAGGCATACGTAAGTCAGCACCACTGTCACCACTGAATATAGATCAGCAGTTCCTCAAATGGCCACTGGAGGCCGGCGTCAAAAGTGAGCCAGTCCCCCATAGACCCCCATGTTAGCATGTCCAACTTTACAGCAGAAATACACATGTTTACAGCCTGGTACAAATATACAGTTTTGGTCTCTGTAGCTGATATCCAACAACTTTAAAACCTACGTCCATACTTTACACAATCTATGATTTTAACCCCCCACCCCCCTCGGGTGGATCAGTAATCCCCTAGATAAGTCCTAATGAGCTCTTTGGACCCCGTTCCAGACAATCATTGGCTCAAACACTGTTACATATGCGTGTATTATGGCAGAAAAGTCCCACTAGTTCGATTTTTTTTTTAATCACACGAGCAGATGACGAGTACATCGGACGCCAACACTGTTTGGCTTCCGTTACCGTCCACACTAAAGGGAAATGAATTAGCCTCAGTCCTGGGTGGGCCTGTAATAGCCCAGCTGATAACAACCACTTTGAAATGAGCAACAAAGAGCATTTCTAAGCAGCAGACCCAACACTCCTGCGGATGAATGTGACTTTTAATCCCATGTGGTTCAAGGAGGAAAAGAGGTGGGAGGCTGGTCTGCCAGTCACAAGATGAACTCCCACAGCACACAATAAAAGCTTCTTATTGTTTCCTGGGGGCCGCAGGAGCCCAACAACAAACGGGAGGATTAAAAACAGCTTCTTTCCAAAGAGCAGCGTTTCTGTCAGCCCAAAACCTCCAACAGAGTGATACCTCCTCTCTGTCAGTTTCAGTACTTTCATATTATGTGATTGTGAATGTGAAAAACAGGATTTGTTGTTTGGCGAAGTGGCCGCTTTGTGCAGCGGCCAAAGTGAGTTTACTCTCATCTCATCCTTCAGACGCCCAGTCACCGTCATCCAGTCGGGCACCAAATAGAGGGCGTACGGCATTTATAAAAGTGATTTTAAATGCACTGTATGGAGAACCGGAGGCAGAAAAACACATGCGATCACTCAAAGAGCCTCTCACAGCACTCAGGTCAGCGTTAGCCAGCTGCTAGCACACAGCGTTGGCCATCTGAGTGCCCTTAAACATAGTATCCTCTCCGAACAACACAGGATATTACACACACAAGGTTATTTTCCCCCTCTCCCTCGTGTGTGTGTGTGTCCAAGTCCATGAGGTAATGTGAAATTTGACAACTCCAAAATTGGATTGAGGACATCTGGTTTGTGTTTTTCTTTCTGTTGTGCACTTCTCTCTCTCTCTTTACCCCCCTCCCCTTCCCTCTCTCTCGCTCTCATTGATTTCATTCTCAGACACAAACAAAACCACACAAAATCCTCCCAGACGCCAAATAAGTGTTCGAGTGACTAAATCTATTGCCGCACAAGAGAGGTGTCGTGACATGTTTCATGACAATTACGTGAGGGTTCCTAGCGAAGACACCTTGGCGACGAACAAAAGTGTCGCCATGGTGATTCTGCGGAGCGGAAAGCTTGAAAAATACAATGTATAGGGGGGAAGAAGAAAGAAACGGGGTGAAAAGTGCAGCTTTTATCATCTCCATGTCCTCTGATCCACTAGCTCAGAGACACTCATTTTAGATGCACTTTGCGAGACGAAGCAGAGGTGTCAGTGTGTGTGTGTGTGTGTGTGTGTGTGTGTGTGTGTGTGTGTGTGTGTGTGTGTGTGTGAGTGAATCTCTGCAGCGCCTCATCAATTAGACAGTAGGCAGGCTGGATGACGGACGCCGTCCTCTCAGCTACGGAGCGTAAACAGCTGTGCAGGTGGGAGAGCAAGGCGGGCCTGTATCGCAGAGCGAGCTCTGCTTAGTTCCACGCTCTGAGTGTCGGCGCCTCGCCGAGTCCAACGCTTCCCGTTTACAGTGTAACCATGGACGTACAGAAGCCCAGCACTGCGTTACTTTGACAGTGAAGAACACTTAAAAACAGGATTATTCTCAGGCTAGCTCTGCAGTTTTAAGGAGCGGTCTTTTACCAAGGATTTCTAAAGCCTCGCAGTTCGACAACATCGACTAAAACCCCCCAACCCCGAAGCAGGTTAGCCGAGTTCCACCTGGTTCCAAAGATAGCTGGTACTTCTCACTTTGTCATACAGGCGCAGAGTGATTTTTTTCCCATGCTCTTAAAAAAACAACATTCTGAATAACTTCCTTGCCGCGTTTAACGCTTCCCACGAGTAGAGTAGAGGGGAGGAAGGTGAAAATAGCTCAGGAAGAGGAGAGGAAATTGTACGTCATCATATGAGATAAAAAAAATGCAACAATCGTCACACAATACATGGGACTGTTCCAGCCAAACTGTTTCTCTCTTACTACAAGAGTCTATGTGGCGAGAGTTTCGCGTGCGCACCAGGCGACAACCTCCAAACCGCTCGGCTGGGCCCAAGGCTCGCAGTGTGACAGGGGGACGTGTTTGGAGCTGGTTAAAACACATGTCTCGCACTGTCAAAAATCCAAATGTCCCCCACACTCCAGCCCACTTTGAGTTTCCTCTTTCTCTGCCGCAAAGAGTGCAGCGTCCGAGCTGTAATCAATCCCTCTTTTGTGCTCGGGCGATCTGATCGGCCCACTGTTCTCTCTGAAATCATCCAAGAGAGGACACGAGGGAGCCAGAAAACCCTCGATCCGCTTCCCCGTCATTGCAGAGCTATGACTAATGTTCCACTGTGGATCTGGCTGGAAATCTGCAGGTTTGGGGGATGTGCCGGGCCGTGTTATTGTTGTCGCCACGAGGGGGGGGGGGTGGACATTAACTGAAACGGAGAACTGTCAACTCTCGCCTCTGAACCAAAAAGCAACGTGAGGGGTTCCATAGAAAATGTTTTGCTTCCTATGAAAGGTTCGAATTGCCGGATGATTTGCATTTTCCTGTAAACAGTGGTGTTAGCAAATGCTCGGCGTGCTTTTAGCTCGAACTCGCGGGCGCCGCAGTGGTGTGTAGTCATCTAGAGAGGCAGCTCGAGAGCCACGGAGTTGCATAATGCAGGAGCCCCCCCCAAAAAAAAAAGATCCCACTGTCAGTTTTTAGCTCTGCGTAACGTGTGAATGCGTTCGTCTTTGCATTCTACTCTCGGTTCAAGTGTGCCTGCTCCATCCTTGTATGTGGAACCTCTTGCCTGAAGAGAAATCAGCCAAACTAATAGAAGATGCAAGTGCGAGAGTGTGCGTGTGGATTGAAAAAGAAAAGAAGAAACATGGGGGGGGGGGGGGGGGTGAATTGCCAAAGGAAGCGGATGATGTTCCTACAGGGCTGTGGCTTTAACCGGCACAACAAGAATACTGGCACACAGAGGGGAGAGGAGACAGCGGAGGAAAGAGGGTGTGGAGGGAGGATGGAGTGCAGCAGAGCCGTGCAGTATGCAGAGAGCAAGGAGAGGGTGAATAACGACAGAGAGCCCGGGGGAAAGTACGGAATATATTTCTTTTGCTTTTGCAAACACTGTGGATTCATGTGCTGTGTAGCTCTAACGTTAAAAAAAAAAAATTATTCCACGTCTGAAACAGCCCCCCCCCGAAATTATGTCTCTCAAATTCCAGTCTGCAAAACGGTCACCGAATTAAACTAAGTAGGGAAAGGAAAACAAAAAGGCAGAGTCTGTGAGAAAGCGGGGTGCACGTGTCCCAGCCAATGGTGCGTTAGACCCAGATGTTCCTCCCATCCCACCCATGCCTGGAGTGTGAGTGTGTTTTTCTGGATTGGCCTTCAGATTCGAGCTGATTTACAGATGAGCGAGAAGCTTTCATTTAAAATTGTTGCTCTGCTGCAGCTGGATCTCGCTCTTTGTTTCAGCGATGAAAAACACTGCAGCGTCAACACTGATATTCTAGTCCAATGATCACCGAAACAGGCCCCTTCTGAAATCACTCCCCTTTTAAAAATAAAAAAAGTGCCTCCATCCATGCCCTTTATTCCTTATAAAAATAATAAAGGGCATGGATGGAGGCACTTTTTTTATTTGAAACGTGCTCTTCCACCAGGAGCTTCTTGGAACAATGACTATGTTGGTGTGTGTACCTTAAAGGTAGCTAAGGGCGCTGTGTGATTAATTCATTTCCTTTTTTTTCATTATTATATTTTAGTCTCACCACGCAAAAAAAGATTTGCAAACATTAAATGGAAGAAATAAGCAATTCAATTCAAAATAACTGCATCAAACACAGAAAAAGAGTGGAACTCAGTCAAAGAAATGAAACCGTTAAAGTGAGAGTGATCGAGCGCCGCACCTTCCTCCCTTATCACCGAAACACCTTGAGTCCAAGCGAATGGCTCATTGTCCCAGTATGTAATCTCACTGGTATTTCTGGTATGAACTGTGTGAAGGAGGAGCAGAGAGCCTGACATGTCTACGGAGCCACACTCAAAATATGTGGTGTAAATCAAAGCTCTCGTGCCAACATTTTATTGGGAATGTTTTCTACATTTCACTTCCAGGAGCAGTGCGATTTCAAGCATGTGGAAGATAAACGCGCAATCACAAGCTCGCTGGCGTCGCTCCAACGAGCCCTGTCAACGGCTCCTCGGGAAGGAAAAAGAAAATGTAATGAAAGCAAAAGCTTTCTGCAGCTTCTTTGCGGTTTGCTTACAACGCTGCATCAGTGACTACATGTTAGTTTGTGTTCTTAGTGGCGGAGTCCGCCGTTCTCTTCAGGCACACAAGGGATTTACAGGAAAAGTTGCATGCAAGTGCAATTTTTATTGAATAGATAACAGCCTCACCGTTTACTCTCTTTATACTCTATCAAGTCACCTCCACGGCAAACGTAGCATTTCCAGCTGCTGCAGCTTTGAATTAAAAGCACTTCATTTATGAAACTCGGTGGCTTTTATTGTGAAGCAGCCACAGGAAAGGCGTTGTATTCGTCCCTGATGATATGCAATACAAATTAAAAATGGATATGAGCAATCTCTACTTCACTTTTTCCTTCAGCAACTTTGTCGTTTTTTTTGCTTTAACTTGCAGTACAGAAAATACAATCGAGTAGAAATCAGCTGGCTGCAAAACAAATTATTTGTGCTGCGGAATTTGTGCTGCAGGGTGATGAGCGTTGGTATTCGCGGGGTGTTTGAAAGCGCGTGGGATCGGACAGCATATCTCAGCATCTTATTTTCACCGAGTGGGTTGTGTGTGTACTTTATTAGTATCGATCCGCGCGCTGAGGAAGTAAACAGGCCTTCAGGAGCGCAACGGAGATCACGGACCCTGCTCTAAATCTAACCCTCGAGATGTAACGGTAACTTAATGCGACTGCTGATGAGTTCTATCGTTCAGGTTCTTGCAGGAAAAAAATCCTTGTGCGAATGTTTAGACTGAAAATCAAGTGCAAGGATGCGAGCAATCCCCGGGCCAGAAACCCAGTCCTTGTCCCCATCCTTTTGTTGACATTGAGACCTCGGGTCTCATCTTTCACTGCGAGCCGATCGATAGCTGAGAGAGACAAAGCGGCGAGGACGCTCTGAGCTGTGAAAGCACAGGTCTCTGTTCACTGAAGGAGCCAAGCGTCGCTACAAATCTGCCAAATGTCAGCGGCGGCGGTGGCGGAGCTGACAACTTTAAACACAAGGAGGTGGAGGAATGGATCGGAGAGGGAAAAAAAATGGAGAAGGAGGGGGCTGCAAATCACCACCTGACCGTTCGTTACAGCCACTCTACGCCTGAGTGTTTGTGTGTGTGTGTGGGAGGAAATTACATTTCCCACATGGATGAAACACCGCTGGGGGAGATTTGACTAGCCCCCCATCAGCGAGACGCGGCGTTGCGGGCTGTTTGTTGGAACGAGTCCCATCTGCCTCCCGCTGAGCAGCAGCCGAGGCCAGATCGACTTGTTTTGATCTCGTGAGGGGGGGGGGGCTTCTGTGCCTAAACGCGGCAGCGCCACAAGGCCGGAGCTATTCCTGAGTGGAGCGTGCATTGCAGCGCACTAAAAAAAACCAACCTCTTTGCAGTTTTTACAGCACACACACACACACAAAAGAGCGCAACTGTAAAACAATGGGAGCGGGTCACATTTTTGTGAGATGACCAATAGCGAGAAAGAAGCCGTGTTCTGCAGCGTGTACACAGCTGTGAGATCACAAGAGAGTTGGACTTACAGCAGCTGCTACGTTGATCACATGTCAACATGAGGCTGAAGCTTTGTTGTGGAATTCCTTTAAAAAGGGAGTCGATTGAAATACAAGTTAAAGAGGTTTTTCCCACCCGTCAGGTGCCAGGTTGTTGGTGTTCGCTCTAGTAAGCTTTAAGTGCCTTACCACAGCCCTGTTTTTAGGAAAAAGATTACAATTTGTGCATAAATAAAAGATTGGCAACCATTTTAGGAGGTGGAAATGTGCAAAAATTCGCATTTTCTGGGAATTTAGTGACAAAAGCCTGATTAAAACTGTGAACACTGAAGAGACCCAGCTGAGTTCTCGGTCAAGAAAATGTAGTCGAGGCAGCAGCGGCGCAGTCCCAGGGCTGCTGCTCAGCTCCATCTTGATAGAGGCCTCTCTGAAAGCCAGGCGTGTTCCCCTCACTGTCCCGATTCTTATCTCGGTAATTGCCTTCCAGTCGGGGAGGAGCACTAGAGGAGTCAGCAGCAGCGCTGCCACCCACCTCAAGACAGGAGACACGCTCCGACGGAGACTCCGGAGTGTTGCGGCTTCGTCAGCTCGACCCGCGTTCGGGATCCAAATGACGTCTCTCGAGGATACAGCTGGAAGCGTTGAGCAGTTTTACTGACACAGGTCCAGGTATCGTCGCTCCACGACGTGGGAGCTCACACTAACGCTGCCCCGACAATGGTGGATGAGACTAGTGCCTCATCTCTAGAGTCCACAACGACCGGATCGAGACCAGACAGAGACACAAGTGTACACACAGCCCGAGGAGATGCTGTGTGTGCAGGAGGCTAGGCTGCCCAAATCACAGCATTTTGTACAACTAGAGTCTATGAGATTTTTCTCTTGTTTCATTTTTACGTATTATTATAAAACCTTATTTTACAGTATTTATTTTCATTGTGGATTAATGTTTGATTGTCTTGATTAATCATTAAATTATTTATATAAAATGTATTAATATAGTAGGGCTGTGAATGATGCTCATGTCCATAAATAGGACGACTAATTGCCATTCAACTCTTAAAAGAGTAAGAAGTGACACAACAGCGTCGAGGTGTGCAGTGCAGCAGCTGTTAGGGATCAGATCCATTCAAATGTGACTCTGTACAACCAAATCAGCCTTATCTAACTCTGCGTACCGCCTCAGAGCACAGATCCCACATTCCTACGGCTTAATGCTGCGCAAACAACCGAGAGCAGGTCCCCGGGTCCCAGACAAACCAACACTTCGCTCCCTCAACTGGGCTGAATTCATCATCTGAAAGCTGGCAGGAAAATCAATGAAAACTAATAAAAGGGTCATGCAGCGTGAACGGGAGGCCTTATTTGAATTATGTCCAAGGATGCGGTCTGGTCCCATAAAGTGCCTGGTGTGCAGTGTGCAATGCTGGCAGGGCTTAGCTGGTTGCGTGCCTCGGGGGGGGGGGGGGGTGTTATTCACGATGGGAATCTTTTAAATGAAACGGGGTGGGGGGGTCACAAAAAACAGTCCCAATCAGCGTATCCTCATTGCTTTAATTAGCCTCGGCTACTATATTTATTCACACCCTGAATAACAGGGTTTCTCTGAAGAAAGAAACCGTATAAAACATACACATCAGACAAAAACAAAGATGACGCAATACGTACCCGCCACGTTTACTTTTTCCGTGTTGGAGGCGCTGGGTGTGGCGGTGGCGATGCCGTTGGTCAGGTTGCCCCCCGTGCCATTGTAGATGTTCTCCACCTTGGACTCCAGCTTGCCCAGCCTCAGCATGATGTTGTCCAGCAGCACGGCGAGGGTCTTCTTCAAGTCTGCGGATGGGAATCAGATTATGTAATGCTAGCGTTAGCCGCTACTGCTCCTTCCAATTGGCCCCTGGCTGCTCACAGTCAAAGGTCTATCTGTATCTGATTAAATGAGCAATCACGCTCCACCTCAGGATGAAGAAAGAGCAGTTCTTTCACTATGACCACAGTGCATGTAATTTAAGCTACAGTGTGGACTTTTCATCCCCAGACGAAGTCTTTCGACTGGATGCAGTCAGCTTGAGGCTCATTTAAATGTAAAACTGGAGCCGTGTATTTTGGGTCTGTGCATTTCTGTGGGCATCTTTTTTTTTTTTCCGTGAGCATTTATCTGCAGAGGACACGGATCATTTCAGAAGGGAAGCTGACCAGTAAAAAGCGCATAGAGCATACATTCAAAATGTTGCTGCTTTAAGCTGTTTTGAGCTGCTGCCATGAACGTCGGCCTCACAGTCCACCGTAACGTCAACGCATTTGGCTCGTACGTGTGTGCAGAAGCGATTCCGGGGTGCGTCAAGCGTGCCTTTCATCAGATGATGAGGATAATTGCAGCTTGTCCATCACATACGAGCGTCACTTTTTCTCTCTCGCCGCAATGCATTCGACGCGCCAGTTTTCATCACGTCAGAGAGATTGCCGAGGGCGAAGCGGCGACCTGGCAGACCGTTTTGTCTGATTTGGACGAGGTGGGCGCCGGGAGGAGGAGGACGGCGCAGTGTGCTCTATCCAGAGTGGATAGAGCGTAAAAGAAAGAATAGACATTGTGTAAAAACATCTGCGGAGGAAACTAAATGATTACAAGTGACGCTTCGAGTCTCCGACCTTCATCGGCCGGCGTGTTGGAGAAGCATCCGCGGCGCTGTGAGTGATGCTTTGACTAGTCCTCCTGTGCACCGATGCTGCTGCCAGGTTACCAGATGAGCAGCAGCACTCCGAGGGACACATCTCTGCCCGTCTCAAATACGTCTTAGTTCTCAGGAGGTGACGCGGCAGCGAAACAAATCCTGGAGCGGTGAACACACTTTGCTTTTCATAATAGTGTCACAGGAGATAATAATCTGGATGCACGATGACCTGGGATTTTTCATTAGGCCCATGAGCATTATAGAGAAGTGATTACACGGGAGCATAAGCCCGAAGGCATTCATCAGCGATTCCTATTGTTCCTTGTCATCCGCTTCAGCTCCGGCCTGTCAGAGGGGCAGGGGGGCTCCATATCGTACCGATGTAACAGCACACAATGACCTCCCACCCTCGGGAGGACGGAGAGGATTAGACCAGCAATCTGAGCTTGCACGCCGCAACCCGGTCCTCCCGAGTCCCGACTCTCTGGCCCTGAGGAGCAGGTCCGAGGCAGGGGGGACCGCGGGTGCCACAAAGGGGATTTCGCAACAGCTGCCGAGCGGTGCGGTAACGAGGTGCGGCGTAGGCAAGGTGGCTCGTCACAGGTAGAGAGACGTGTGCAAACGTTGCACTGATGGGTCCACTACTCTCTTAGACTATAGGCCTATAGCAAGATTTCTCCTTCCTCAGAAAGAATCAATCTGCAATGAAACAATTGTATTATAGTAAGTATTTTAAACTAAATGTTTAATATAAAACAGCATTTTAGCTGAAATTTAGACGGGGGAAAAAAATCATATTTTCAACAATAATTCTAAGACATTAAACAAGTTCTATAACCTATTTTAGATGTAGGATCGGCTGCATGCTGTGTGTAAACAGGCAGACTGCCAGCTTTAAGCTTTTCAACAGGTCTCCCAATCAGCCAAGGACGGAGGGTACGCACCATAAAGCCCCTCGAGGAAAACGCGTGATACCGGGCCGTATGAATAAAACTGACTTGACTTGACAAATGGGCTTTTGGGAGACGCAACATTCAATTTGAATGCGTTCGTTTTTGTTTTTATGGGCCATTTGATGGAAGGAGGAAGCTCTGTTCCCACAGATCTCATCAGGGGCGAATCATCGACCAAAACGAGTGAGCACGGGATGCACCGAGGATCCTGCTGCCTCCCCATCTAATGACATCATCTAATTATTTACATGATTGATGAGGATGTTGTAATCAGGCAGAGTTTCTCTTCTGGTCCGGGGAATTATAGCTGCACAAAATATGTTTGGTTTCCATCCTTCAGAGTGGGTGTGCATGTACAGAGCTTTTAAATAAGCTCAGCAAGTGTTGCGCTGGTTTCTTTGAGAACTCATTCTAACCTCCTGGAGCTTTACTGTATCCTGTTGTTTCTCGGGGCATTAGAGGACAATCAATTCCAATCTCAGGTTCCTAATGAAGCCTCCCATCGAGCCATACAGGTCTATTAACGGCATGAATAACTTATTGACGGGTCTCCTGGACCTGTGCTATTACAGCGGCGTGCGGCTGCAATTGGCGTTAAATCTCCCCGGGCCGGTTTTCTTGAACGGAAGGCGATGCTGCGCCTGCTCGGTAGGAAGACAAATGGAACCACTCGCCGCAATTTAAAGAAGATGTAAAAAGAGATGGGGGAAGCAAGGCGGCCCCCCATCTTATCTCTGGTAAAGCCACTCACCGTAAGCCGTCATGGTGCCCACATAGGGCCCGTCCATGACACTCTGGTTCTCCTCGGCCAGCGCCTTGATGTAGCGCTTGCTCAGGTCCAGGATCTGCTGCCTCAGCACGCCGCTGTTCTCGTGGCTGGCCCGCTGCTGGATGGTGAAGTGCAGCAGCATCATGCCCCAGATGAACCCGAAGCTGACCAGGAAGAAGCCCAGCTTCTGGGAGGACAGCTTCCACAGGAAGGGCGTGGCCATGCTGACCGGACGAGGGGGCCGCAGTGGCTCTGATTTGACCGGGGGGTTACAGAGGTGAGGGAGAGGGGGGGGGGGGGCTCAGGAGGGCAGGCGGGGCATGGCTGTGTCAGTCGGTGTGGCGGCGGGCGGTTTTTGGGGGGCTGCTTGTTTGCCTCACCGGCAAGATTTCCTTCTCTGGCCCATCCTCAGCGCTCAGTAGCATCTCCCTGGACTCAGGCCTGTTGCATCCTGCAGCAGACAGACAGGAAAGAGAGGTGAGAGGCGATCATGATAACGAGGGAGTTCCCTCTCCCAACCCAAGCCCACATCAGGATGAAGTATTCAGTAAGTCATAATAAAGAGCTCAAATTCACTTCATCGTATGGGGCCCTGACGTATCGAAGAGATCGAGAGAACTTCTCCTCAAGCTTGTTTTATCAATAGCATATATACATTTTTGGAAAACAAAGCATATACGGGGCCCGACATCCATCCAAAGTCTTCTCTTTCACAAGGAGAAATAAGTGTAAATAGCACGTTGGGGTAGGTTGTGTCTGACGTGAAAGCAATACAGACTTTAAGCAAGAAAAAAACCAGGTCTTTGAGGTCTTCAAAAGTAATTTAAAGTTGAATGCGTCTCCTGAAAGAGAGGCAACGCAGAGCGGCGGCGTCTCCCTCAGACAGCGTGATCTCTGTGATGGATGGCGCTGTGAGGGATTACTGCAAGAGGGTCAAAATATAAACATTTGGATAGCCAGCGATTTATCTTCCGCACAGGCAAAGCGAGAGCACGGACAGATTTTTAAGCACATGCCTTTTCTGTCTTTCTGTTTCATTAAATTTTTTTATTGCCAAATGCTCAACAGGCTTTTCTGCCTGACGAATGAAGGAAGCTGCTGCTGCTCTTGTGGTTGAGCGTGTATATTGAAATGTAAAAAAAGGTCGAGGTGTTATTTATTTATTCTCACGAAAAAGGAAAAATGTGGAGGAGGCAGAAGGTCAGGGACAAGGATAATGAATCAGACTAAATTCCAAATAAAAGTAGGACGACAAACAATTATCTTCATTATTGATTAATCTGTCAATCATTTAGTCCACAAAATCGGCTATCAGAACTTCTTTAAGTTCAAGGTAATGTTGCCAAATGACTTGTTTTGTCCAACAAAACTCAAAGATTATTCAATCATGTAAAAAGAAAAGAGAAAAGCAGCGAATCCTCACGGTTTAGGAGCTGGCACCGGAGGATTTTAAGAAGCATTCAAGACGGATTTAAAAGATGCATTTTTACACAGAAACATTAACATTAAGATGGCACGTAAAAACACTGGAAGACGTCCCAATCAGTCAATAAAAACCCACAATCGTACATGACATGTATCCTATATCTTACATATCTGAGCCCGTTTGTATTTACACCATCTCGAGCCCCTGCATCCTCTCAACCATTTACCGGGTGACATCAGTCGAGTCCCTGAGGGTTCAGGGCTTAAGGCCTCAGGGGGGACATCGAGTCGGGACTTAGTCACGACTCATTGGGGAACCACGCTGACCTTCTCCGAACGTGGGCCTTGCTCCGGCGCAAAGGTGGATGCAGCGAGCATGAACTGGAAAGTGTTAACTGAAAGTGTGCGACGTTTTTTCAAAAACACAAACCACATTTCCTTTTGCTGCAGCTTTTCACTGTTCTTCTGCATTTTCCACCGTCTCAATCACACAATCTAAAAACCCTTTAAGGCTGCTACTAACACTGCATGCACGTTTGTTTTACACATTTGTAGCAACGGCAAAACCACATTTCATTTATTTTTGCCTTTAATGCCGTAAATACACACGTGTAGCATTTTATCAAGGCGTACTTAGCGTGATCCAATCAGAGCAAACACAAAAATAGACAATATTCCTAAAAAGCTGTGCATATAAAACCAAAAATCCCTTCTCCTGTGTGCCAGCAGCTGCAGAGATCTGAGAGAATAAAGCCCACCCTGCAAATTCATGTAAACATTAAACTGCAATATGAGATTTCACGCTCGCTGTCTTTACTGCTGATTGAACACAACCGCGCCAATAATAACACATTTGGCCCAAACCAATCAGACGGTTGCCCGTAATGCAAAACGAGTCCGCCCTGCAGCGCTTCACGAAGCTGTTAAACAGTTCAACAAGTCTTTACCGACGACCTCAAGGCATAAAATAAATAATCTTTTCAGCCCGCAATCAAGCCAAGAAGACGCTAGATGTTCTCTCATCTGCATTCCACCACTGTAGCAGTAAATGAGGCTAAGTGTGGGGAGGGGATTTCTGCAGCCTTGCTTTCAAAGCGGCTCTAACCGGGTCAGGACCGGAGCCGCGTCCGTGGATGCAAAAAATAATAATACACTGAACATTGATATTTTTCTTGAATCTGGTGTTGAGAGTGACGCACGGCAATAACGGATTGTATCGGCACCTTTCCAAGAAAACCACGAAGAGCAGCCACACAAAAGGGGCTCTTTTCACCTTCCACCCATCAGCTTCATAAATAGGTCAGAGACAGCTGCGACCAGGCCTGGAGTCTCACTGAGGGTTATGACACAACCATAATTGGTCGGCCGTTGAAGACAAAAGGCTCGTGTTGTGCCTCCTGTGCAGACAGAGACCTTTTTATTGTGACAAAACAGGGACGTCCACAAGGAGAAAGAATGCAGATTCACGTCTCTTTTTATTTATTTATTTTTAATACATTTAACTCGCTCTAGTTCGCTTTGTGATGCGTGCAAAACGAGGGTTTTGGTGTGGAGGAACTGGGGTGGTGTGGGTGGGGGGGTGGGGGGGGGGATCTCTGAGGCGCGATGTGAATTCATGAGACGAGCCCCTTGGCAGCGGCGCTGTGCAATCTGCAGTGCTGATAACGTCGGATGTCTCTCATTGCTCGGGACTCCATTGGTGGAAAGAAGCTCACTACTTGGGCACTGACAAGCGTGTGTGTGTGTGTGTGGGGCGGGGGACCCTGTGTGTTGTGAGCGTGTACACGAAGCACTTCTCCTAGCGTCGGAGACTTGCATAGCTTCTAACCCAACCCTAACCCTAACCCTTTAGAGTAAAAGATGATATCTCATCGTTGTCAATATAATCATTTTAGGCTTTTAATATCTCTCCAGCCGAGGTCCTATAATCATGCAGCCTTTGCCCTTGTTCCGTCGGTCATATGCTGAATTGTTAAGACCGGGGCCACATGGCCCGAGCGAGGTAAAGACTCAGTCCATTTTCCTTTGCATAGGATAGGAAAGCTGAAAATAACTCCCTTAAAAGTGCAGTTTAGGGGGTAATTTTAGAAAGGTGAGGCAGGCGGAGGGAGGTCCGGATTAATTCCGGTGCATTACTCCGGTTCTAAAATAGAGAGAGCGTTCCACCGGACTGAAATAACGTACACTAAGAGCCCGTTGCATAACCACGGAAATATGCTCTAGATGTAGCTTCAATTATGGATCGGCTTTGGAGAAAGAATCCGTTATAGAGTACAAATAGGCTTTGGTGGAGCTCGGCGTCTCAGGTGGCGACAGCCAGCAGCCCGTCTTTTACTATCGAGTTCCTTATCGATTGATCCACAGGTGGTATTGTAGATCAAGCTGCTGGTCGAGCAGCAGATTATGACCGACGCTCTTCACAAAGTTCCCCCGCTGCCATGGAGACCGGTGTGACTCTGCATCTTAATGGGCTTCTTCACACAAGCCCCGCCTCTTAATTATTCATCAGGTGCCCTCCAGAGGAATGGGGGGGGGCACCTTTTGCAGCTCCGCCACCTTACAGGTGCGAGTCCAGCTCGTAGCCAGATATGTGAGATGGCCCCCCCCCCCCTGCAGCTAAATTCTGGGAGTTTATCTAAAATGCGAGAGGCACACGGATCGATGTTAATGTGGTCTTTATTGAGTCATTGATGGGCTCAGACGCTCCTCCGAGGGGGACCAATTTCGAGGTTTTTGGCATAGAAATCGTCACATATGCACAAGGCGAGAAAAAGCTTTAGCCGTTAGCTTTAGCTTTAGTATACAGCGAGGAGAGGGACAGACTTCCTGTGCGTCAGGTTGTCAGATCAAGGAGGAAGGTGATGCACAACAGCGATCAAGTGACGCGCCACCACGGGAAGTAAAACCGAGCACATATTCATTTAACATAAACACATGCTGGTGGGTCACCTGACAACAAGCGGTCCTGTGTTGCGCTTTCAAATTAAAGGTTGTCACGTCTATTTCTCTCTGTCTCTTCCTCTTCTTTTCTATTCACCTCAGCCTGTCTGTCTGGAGTGCTACAAGGAACAAAGACATCTATGGACAGGACTGTAATAAAACACAGAATCCTATACGCAAAACTGTCCCGTCAGTTGGTTTAACAGTCATGTTTACTCCTCTTGGTGTCGTTTGCAGCGTGAACAGGAACCGGACCTGAACTTGACCGCACCATTGTTGTATTTATTTCTCTCGGTCCGGACGAAACGAGCCCAAATACAGGAACCCTGACGCTCTGTGGACCACGCGTGTTAGGCTGACAACCTTGGCCTCCACAGAGAGAAGTCCAGCTCCACCCTGAAGGCCGAAATCCGATCAGCTGTGACCGCGTGGGGACCCCTCAGGAACACGTCGCTCCAATCAGGCGGAATCTCCAGACAGCTAAAACACCAAAGACCCCCCCCCCCCAAAGACCCCCCCTGCACAGGAGCGAATCAGTGAACTCTTGACTGTCCTCACAAAAAAGGAATCGCCTCAGCACTTTTTGGAGTCGGTAGAGAAACAAAACATGCTGAATTTTCACATCATCCTAATTGGAAAAGGGAGCCAAGCAGGAGGTGACCCAAAATCTTCTTTTCAATGTTGGATTTCTTTTTTGTGTTCATTTTCTGTCATTTATATTTTTGTTTCCGAATTGTACTGGACATGTACATGTACATGCAGTCCTTGTTTGCAATGAGCAGAATTTAGAGATCCACAGTGTAGAGACAATTTTGATTTCCTGAGTGACAAAAAACAAACACAGCCAGAACACAGAGGAAGCAGCAGACGGGCTGTTTCTTGCAGGTCTTGAGGCTCCTCACATTTACAAGACGGGAAGCTCTCCTTCTGTGAGAGACAATGATGTCCAACACCACCCAGAGAATTCACTACAACGCTGGCTCTCTACATTAGATCTCTGACCCTGAGTTTTCCCCCTGGATGTCTGCCGGCGCTAACAAACACATGCGAGCAACACTCCGGCTCTTTGCATACCTTTGCCCTTTGTGACAGACACACTTGGTGAAAACACACTTTACAAAGCCATCTGCAAAAACTACCGCGGAGGAGTTTAACCTGCCGCGACATGCACGAGGGAGAGGACGAGACGGCCACGAACATGACCTGCATGCCGAAAAACAGGCCCGCCGACAAGTGTGGGTAGGAATTGCAGATGAGGTGCTGAGGGTGGCACTTCCTTCTCCCTGTCACCACCGCATACAAGCCCTGTTGTTATGCTAACGCCAGCCGGCCTCGTTACATTACGCAACAGCACTACGCTTGAGTGATTTTGGGAAAAATATGCACACACACACACACACACACACACATAAGAATCCTATCTTAATATGCTCTTAAATGTTTACATAAAAGCAGAATATTCTGCAAAACATGCACCCACCGTTCCTGTGAGGGCCTTCACTGACTGCATTAGAATCTAAAACCCTAACCCTCTGCACTTTCCCTGACATAAAGCTAATCCTAATGCTGGTCTTCGCTCTTAATGCAATCCAAATCCTCTGAAAACCCTTCAAAGAAGTCCGGCGCAGCAACACGTCCTCGATTTCTGTCCTTCTGGGTAATTTCAAACTCACAACATGGTGTAGGGAACCACCGTCCTAACAACCTATTCTCCTTATTATAACGATGAAGACATATTAGGAGTTTATGTCGCGCATGTTGGTGTTACAAGATTCTTGTGGCCAACTGACGTTGCTGATCTGCATACTGTGACTCCAGTATTTCAAGAAGAGGCAGAACACGAGCCGACAGTTAGTCATGACATTTGAATGTTGAATAGTTCAACATTCCACATATGATGGAAATATTTCAACAGTCTCTGAGACAAAAGAAAAAGAAGCACGTTTGAAATTGAGGATGCGATAAACGTTGGAGGTTACAGCAAAGGCCTTTTGAAAAAGAAATCCATAATCTTCCTTTTATCACCTCTTCTGGGTTTTTTTTGCCCGCGATATGAAAACAGCTTTTCGAGAGGATTTAGTGCCGGTTTTGTGACTCGCCCGACCGTCTCGAATAAACGAGCGCAGCTGCAAACAGGAGGCCGACTGTAAGGAAGCGAAATGTGTGTTACGTGACGGGAGAAAGAGCGTCTCTCCGCAGCGGACGGCCACGGTGGAGTGGGGACGCACGAAAGATCTCATTCCACACCTCGCTCTGACCTCACCACGAGGAGACAGGTGCATGTGTGTTTGTGCTGAAAGAACAGGAGCCCCTTCAAAATCGCCCAAAGTGTTCCACTTCCATCACCGCAGCCTCCCGATCCCTCCATCTTCAATCCCTCCTTCCTCATCCCTCCACTGCCTCTGCTCGCTCTCCACCCGAGCCCCCCGGCACACACACATACCCTCCAACCATTTCTTGCCAGTGAAGCATGCCACCGAAGCAAAGCTCCTTTCCCTCGGGATTATGGGCTCCAGCGCAGTGGGAAAAAAAGGGTGCCTGAAAGAGCTCTTCGTAAAGCCAGGGGGCAGCTCACCTTGGGATGGCCACTACACAGCATCAGCTCGATGATGATCGGAACCAGGGTGGGTCACGCTGAATAACATGACATATACTTTACTGTCTCTGTAGGGAAATGTCCCGCTGATCGCCCACCAAAACCGAATCCCCAGGCGTCTTTTTAAAAAAAAGGGCGTTTTGACGGGGCCTTCCTGTTGAAAGTACTCACGCATGATAATGACACAAGATGCATCTCGTGTGATCAAATCAGCATGTCGTAACCTGATTACGGGCTGAAAATGACTGGACTGCACTGGTGAGCTAAGTGCCTCAATGAGCCCGAGTGACCTCATGCACACCAGCCTCTCATTCCTCCCCACATCCTGGTTATGGGCTCATTTCCCCTTTCAGTTTTTACTGGGCTTGCCGGTCTACCATGTTTAAATGTCAGTATGAGGGAGTGTAATACTGACTAAAATTACAGGTCCTGCCAGTTTCTTTTCCAGTCGAGCCTTTTTCCGAGATGTCACCGTGGGCCTGAAGGGCATGAATTTACATGATTATCTTCCGCAGACTATTTATTACCTGTGAGTCTGTGTCATCGTTCGCTGGAAGCTGAGAGAGAGAAGAGAAACCAAGCAAATATAACCTCCATAGCCTCCGTGTAACAACGTGAAATGCGTGGTCAATGCTTTCACGGTGCAGCGGTCCAACGTCCCCTGCCTTTGTGAGGACTGTACACCACAGTAGAGCAATAATAACCGATAACAAGCGCTAAGTGCTCCTCTGGTTTATAACAGTGTGATATCTTATCTGATGGAAGCGGGCACCTTGAACGTCATTCTCTGAACAACCTGTTTGCGACACAATGATGCTATTACCGCTCTGATTCCTTAACTGGCTGCAAGAACAAGAAGAAGAAGAAGAAGAAGAAGAAGAAAACACAGCTAGCGTTGACGTTAGCGGTGCAGCTCTATTACGGACCACCTTCGCTTTATTGAGGCCAGCCGACTCGCGAGCAAGCTTCCGCCGCTTCTTGCTACATTAGCTTTGTTTTTGTTGTTGTTGTTGTTTTTTAAGGCTAGCTGGTCCACCACCGCGCATTTCACAACAACACACGCACCGCCGCAATGACAAGTCGCCCCACTCCCCGAGAGCACACACACACACAGCCGAGCACTGCGCCTCTTCCACCAGCGTTATTTCCTTAACAATAGAGGCAGAAAAACGAGCTCCTGATGGGGGTGCTGTATCACGGAGAGAGGGGGGCTTACCTTTCTAATGGTTTCTGTCTTTGGCCCACGGTGGTGATACGAGGCGATCACAAGACTTTGTTGCGGAGATGTCGTTGCGTTGAGCAGACTGTGAAAGACCACAGCACGCCGTGCACACGAGCCTCTCCGTGTGTTCGCTCTGCCCACTGGCAGGAAAGCGAGTAACACTTTAGAGACCATCCACGTGTTAGCGCCCCGCAGAAAAACGTAGAGGCTTCAAGTTGAGCAAGGGTGGAGGACAGCGAAGTATATTTACCATGCAAATACATTACAATACGTGCAACAAACGAATACCATAAGTGCTAAGTGGTACACATTTGAGGTAACCATATCAGAGTATTTACTTTTTCAACCACAATATGCAAATACACATATCTACCCCACCCACTATATTTGACATGTTAAATATGCAAATTAAGACTGCTGACAAAACGAAAACAAAATTATGTAGTGTTGAAATAAGAATCTGTCATTTATTAACAGCAATAGGTCTCAAGACATCAAACAAACCTTGTATAATCGAATGACATTGAGTTTGTATTAAAATCTATTTCGCTTTTTAATTAAGAAATATTTTACATGCTCTCTCATCTTAAGCTTGCTTTAATCTTGAATGACGACCAGGCTTTGCAAATGAATGAAATCGTGAGCCACAGTGACTGACGTTCAGTAACATTTGTCACATCAAGGTAGTTAAAAACCGAAAGTGGAGACCTAAAACACGACGGTCCCTAAGTATGTGATCGTGCTGTCACAGACCAATAAAAGCTTTGTGTTTACTGCCATCTGCTGGCTGTCACGTGAGACAATGGGCCCCTTGTATTTTTATTTACAGATGCTAGAATCCAGCAAGGGTCTTGTAAAGTAAAGCATTGCTCAATAATGTGCGTTATGAGTTTAGTCTTGTGGCTCAGTAGCTGATTATTGTGGAAATTAGATCTGAAGATATGGGTACTTATATACTGGTATTTATACTAGTATTGGGAGCATAAAAATAGAAAACTGTGAGGTGGAAAAACCTTCTTTTAAACTTTCTGTTGTGCTGAGGGAGGAAAAGAGCGTGACGGGGAGAACCTGCTGTGAGGAGATAACAAACGTAGAAAGCAAAAATATGGAGGAAAGCTGTGTACGCTGCAGAGCCTCGAGGGATATGCATTTGGGAGTTTGGTCCTCGCATTTAAGGTTTCCTTTTGTTTATTCCTGCCTATTGATCATGAAGGACTGATTGTTAGAGGTCAGGATGCATATGTTTAAATGGCTAAATACATATTTACTGCTCAGCCTCAGATTCAGTAAGAAAGGTGGATTCACCAGACAGCATGACACGCCTGAAGTGACCTTGCATGTATTTTCATGAACAACACATTCTTATGTCGCTATTTTTCCTGAGAACATTTGCACGATGCCCATCTTGATTTGCAGGGGACAGACACATTCAACATCCATTCTCTTGCACGGGTATACTGCACTCATACATCAATGAGTGACAGGAAGAGAGAGGGGAAGGAAAAAAAACACAACTCTCAAACTCAGTCTCTGAGAAAATAAATTTATTATTCAAATAAGCGACTTATACACAGTGGGTTCACGGTTCTAATCATCAGAAAGAATATGAGCTGCGACCATTAAAGAAACATGAAGCTTATATTAGTGTCACACAGCTCGTGGAGCTGCAGAAGTCCTTTGATGATCACATTCATACAGTGGTGGGCCGTCAGGGCCAGCTAAGCCTTCTCTGCTGGCCTAAACAGAATCACAAAGTTATAGCTATTTTATAATTTAATAATTTAATAATAATAAAGATTCAGCCCCTATTTCTCTATGCTATGCTATGCTAACCTGAGGACGCCATAGCAAAGCCGGCCAGGGAATGCAAACGCCAGCGAACGCCGGCCTCAGCTGTTTTTTGTTATTGTTCCGGGTTCAAAAGGTCACACATCCCGTTGTCTCTTACATTATATTTCCCACAATTTAAGCTTCTGCATTTCCCAAATGCACTAGTATTATTCAAACGTATTGTTCGGTTCGTAAGCCTCGTGCCAAACGGTTTAATACGAATACGTGTGTTGTTACACCAACAGAAACAAATAACCGTAGCTCAGTAGGACAGCACAGAAGGCCCAGGTATAAAATGCACGGCCCGCCACTGCATTCATATTATATTCAGACATATAAAATTAACTGTACAGACATAAAGAGCTGAAGGCAGAGGAGAGCTTGATTCCCATTAAGGCACTTGTGATTAAAATGAACATGACAACACAACAGCTGGGCTTTTTCTTTTTTTACTATAGGCTGATTTATCAAATTTAAAGTATATTTTTTAATCTGAAATACGCCAAGAGACTGTGATCATTTCACGACCACGATGCGTATTATACATTAGGTGTGATCATTCTTTAAGAAAAGGAGGGAGTATCTCTAGCGCTGCCCCAATAAAAGACAAACGCCTTTGGCTGAAACACATTCTTTAATAATCAAATGCTGTTATTCCTATTGCATATGTAAATTCACGACATGAATATTAAGATGTATTAAGCAGATTAACTGTGAGCAGAAATGGGTAATACTTCGGTTGAGCTCAGGAGAAAACGACCTCCAACTACATTTTTTGTTTTGTTTGTTTGTTCTGTTTGTCTTTGCCCCGTAAAGCATCTTTGGGTATTTTGAAAAGCGCTATAGAAAATCGATTTATTATTATTAGTATTACATTTTATTTCCCCCTTAAAGGGACAGTTCACCCCAAAATTAAAAATACCTTTTTTTCTCTCTTACCTGTAGGGCTGTATATCAATTTAGATTGTTTTGGTGTGAGTTGCCTAGTGTTGGAGATGTCTGCCCTTTCTCCAATATAATGGGACGATATGGCGCTCGGCTTGTGGCGCTCAGAGCGCCAAAAAATACATTTAAGAAAGAAATGTGACAGAAATGTCTCTTTCCAGAAATCCTGACATGGTTACTCAAGATGTCATGTCATGAGCAGTTTCATGTAGGAGCTATGGTTGAAGGAAAAGAGAGAAAAATATGTATTTTTGATTTTGGGGTCCCTTTAATTTTTGACATAAATATCGGCAGTATAATCACCAAAAACAAACAGTTCCAGCCTCTTCCATTTGTTCACAGTAAGTATTATTGAGATGCTGGAAACATCTCTTTTTTTAAAATGGTGTGTCTTTTCTTTGAGACACCTCACCACTGTGCTACATTTAACCACCTTTCGGCACAGTAGTTTTAAAATGACTCCTCCTTTGTAAAGACTGTATATGCTTCTGTGTGTGATTCACTAGATTCTCTAGAAGGAGACAACGGTACAACAGTGACTGTGGTAGCGATGCATTCACTTTTCCAACCTCTTAGCAACGTCCTTGTAGGCTAGCTCGATTTCCACATCGGCCGCGCACGTGTTGGTGAACTCATCTCGGCTGTAGGCATTGCCAAGGTAACGCCACAACCCTGTGAATTCAGACGGGATGTCATAGTTCCGGTATTTCTTTGAAACCACCTGCAGGACAACAAGTTATTGTAATACTGTACGTCAAGACAGAATGTGAACTCAAGCGAGCCAAAGTAAACCAATCCAAAAGCAGGTTACCTTGACAACATGAAGTTTGGGCAGAAGGTTGCAGTCAGCCAGTGTCAGGTCGTCTCCGTCCAGGTATTTGCGTTCGGATTCGCCCTCGCCTCTGTGGTGTCCCCCCTGAACCTCGTCAGGTAGAGGACTCTTCAGATACTCGTCCAGCTTAGCCAGGCACTTGTCTAGACTCTTCTCTAATGCTGGAACACACGTAAAACACATACACAGGTTACAACGTCATACAGGTCTTTAAACCTTCTGTTTGGATTATAATGGATATGTTAACTGGATGTATTTTGAACTTGCACCATGTCCCTTGTCAATTTCCGTAATGATCGGGGGGGGTTTGGTGCCCAGTAGGCTACCCTTCCAGTGGAGAAAACATGATGTAGTGCCCTACCCAATGCCCTTCTGGTGGAGAAAATGTGATTAAATGCTCTCTAGGATGTCCTTCCAGTGGAGAAAACATTATGACCTTCCGGTGGAGAAAACACGATAAAGTGCCCTCGAGGACGGCATTTCCAGTAGAGAAAGCGGGATGAAGTGCCCTCTAGGATGTCCTTCCAGTGGAGAAAATGCAATGCTCAGGCACTCTTTGTGTGCTGGGAACCAAATATATGCAGCTTGTGCCATTTGAATGTTTTTCTCCCTTGCCCTTCAGACAACCTGAGTCCACCACTGCTGTCATGTATGGTTATAGATGTTCTTTCAGATTTCTTTTATGATTTTTGTGCAAAGCAAATTCCCCTAGGGGCAAGTTTGATTCATATCCTTACCTCGATTTTTATCCGGTCTTTTGTTTTTGACAAAAGCGGAGAACTTGGCAAATATGTCGTTCCCCGCTGTGTTTGATTCCCGGTTCTTCGCTGCAAGTTTGGGATACCTAAGAAACATGAACATGGCGTTAGTTGGAATGTTGTTCGCCCTATTTCCTTTTCCCCGCTCGTGTCTATTTACGCTTGTGAGGCCTACTTTGGTGGAGCCAGCATCTCCTCCAGATACTCCTCTACTTTGTTGACGTCGGTGAGAACCTCCCCCTGGAAGGTGAGGAATGGCGGGTGTGTCCCCGGGGCCAGGTTGTGAAGGTCAGCCGGTTTCCTAATCAGAGTGGAATCATTTAACAACCTCTACTATCAAACTGCAATGAAATGCCTTTTCAATATAACAGTTTCCATCAAACAAATGATGCTCTTTCATTAGTCTATTCAGCCACGGAGGCTGTTGCTCCAACGCCGACTACCTTGGGCCTCATTTCCATTCCTTTTGTGCTTTTGTTCATTACCTTCACGTATCGCTCAAAGGAGCACTTGAAGCATAACATCTTAAAGCTGCTCTTAAGCTGCTTAATCAAACAGTGAGTTATGGGATGTTGTGTCTATTAGCCCATGCAATACTTAAATTGTCACAGTATTTATGTTTTTTTGAGGTATACGTTAAAGTATTTTCATTTTAATGTGCTGTTGTTTTTACTGCTATGGTAAGATAACAAGCATGCGCTGTGACATGATGTTATTATTACCTCTTGAGGTCGACGGTGGTGACATTGAAGACAACGCCTTTCAGCCAGAGGATCATAAAGAGGCGCTGAGAGAAGGGACAGTTTCCGATGCTCTCCCCATCACTCCCAGCCTGTACACGCACACATGTGAAGACACGGTAAGACACGAATACTACATACACTGATTTACACACACACACACACACACACACACACACACACACACACACACACACACACAGACACACACACACACACACTCTTGACCAACACCTGAAAAGTACTCAATCACTTAACAATCAGTGCTTTTAGTTTGAAGTAGAGGTTGGGTCTGTGTGTGCACATGATCGCATTTATAATTGACATATGATCAAATACAGTAGTATGAGTATGCATGTATTTGTGTGTGTGTGCGTGTGTGCGGACGGCTGCAATAGGACACTGTAATCAGACACCGAGTCCAACATGAATAATCCACGCTGCTTCCATTAGTCGCCTCACTGCCTGTTTGGACGTGCGGTTTCTACTGTACAATACAGTAGTAGTGTATCAGCTATATCTATAACCTGCTGTCCACGCACTTTCACTGAGCTTCAACCACAATCTGCTTTGCTTTACCTCGTTTTAGGACACTGACACTTATTTTTGAAGCGTTTCTACCTTTCAATACAGCCGTTGCTGTCCATTAATTTCAGGACAATGTGTAAGTTAACTATCAACTGAGTCATTTGATAATTAACCAAGACTCAGATGAAAAAATCAATACCACTCCTGCGTCTGTACGTTAAATACAAAGGTAAAGCCAGAAGTTGGTTAGCTTAGCTTAGCATCAAGACCGGTGGCACGGGGAAACAGCTAGCCTGGCTCGATCCAAAGGGTCCAGGTAGCCACTTATGGTACGGCAGCGGGAACAATATATACTTCACACTTAGTGAGCTTTAGAGGGCATGGTAGACATTTTTTATAGCTGTTTTCCTATAGCTATGCTAAGCTAAGCTAACGAGTTGTCAAATTTAGCATGCAGATGTGAGAGTGGTATCAATCTTCTCGTCCAAATCTCTGCAAAAAAATGAAACACTATTCATTACAGTTTTTTTTTGCAAGTCAAGTAAAACATGTAGATGAGTGCGCATGCCGTAGACTCAACAGACTGTTACACTCCCAACACAATATGCGTACACAGATATACCTCCACACACTGCATCATAACTTCAGACCATTTAAAGCCGCTGCTCTCGATACTGAAAGGACCCCAGTAATAATTAATTGGGGGAGAGAAAGAGAGAGATTGTCCGTGCACACGTGGGTGTCAGGTTAACGCATGGAAAATCTGCACACAACAACAACAACATGGCATGCGCGCGCTTAAAGGAGCCACCCCCAACATGCACACACACTGACACACTAAACAGATTCTATGGTGTGCATACGCAGCTTGAATTTGACCTTAACAAACAAACAAAAACTATTTCAGGCAAAGTGAGACAGTAAAGTTCCTCCAGAAATGTAATTTAAATGTGAGAAGAGAACTGATCCAGTGTCAGCTTGTGACGTGCTCAAACTGCACCAACACCCACACAAGCATGACTCCCCACCTTGACAAATAGCTCAATATCAGGGTCCTTGTCCTCCTCGGCCGCGGTATCCGTCATGGTCAGGAAAAAACACGCTTTGCTTGTGTGTTTTGTTTCCACAAGTGTGTAGATGTATTTGTCTGTGTGTTGTGTGTGTGTGTGTGTGTGTGTGTGTGTGTGTGTGAGCCGTGTCAGTTTACAGCAGATTCTACTCCAGGTCCATGTGTTGAAGTCTGCTTGGTCCCATAGCAGCTCTGTCAGAGTGTCGGCTGAGGACCAGTGCCAGCAAGAGAGAGAGTGTGTGTGTGTGTGTGTGTGAGAGAGAGGTTCAATTTGTACACGAGGCCTCAGCAGTGGGGCGTGACACTGTCGGGCAAAAATAACCCCCTCGGATGGCGTGGGGAGGTTGGTGTCACGGAAAGCATTAGTGAGGGATGGGGTGGGGCAGACCAAGTCACCCAAGGGTGCCCTGCCCCTCCCACCTCTTCCAGCTCTGATTGACCAGGTGACTTTGAATCATCGAGAGTCATCGTCTCCTTCTCAGACTCGTCACATGGGAACAAAACCAACAATGAGTGTAGTGACTAAAAAGTGGTGTGTGTGTATCAAAGCCTGATTTATGTTCTTCCTCTTTGTCAAAGAGCCTCACTGTCAATGGCCACACCTGTTGCACTTCATTACAAGAAACATGGCATTGTAGTTGAATAAATACCCTTTCAATGCTTGCTACTGCACCAATTAATGTTAATCCGCATCTGAAAATAGTCCCCAACAAATGTGTTGCTTCCTCCTGTTTGGGTAATGCTCGCTAAAAACCACAGTGCCCAGCTGTTGCAGGAAATTACTGTTAAAATAAAACTAGATATTAGAGAAATGGTGTTACTCAAACCTTAGCATTTTCTAATAAAACAACCTTCATATAGGGTTTAGTTGCCATAATTAATGACTTTATGATGGTTAATAAATCATTTACAAATGCTCTCCTCATCAGTTATAAGCCACCGATAAGAATAACTTTTGGGTTGCCAGGTTGTATAAAATCCTCCTCAAGCATCCTAATTGCTGTGTCTTTTTTTTCAGCTAGCTCTTTGATTCATCAGCCACCTCAAATCAAAAAAGTTTTCTAAATTTCTAATAACACCTCGAAAGTGGGTCACCTATAATAAATATCAATGAATCATGAATAAAAAGGTTGATCCACAGAGTCTGTTGTGGTTGTAAATGTTAATAAGTTGTTTTTAAATGGATTTTGATCAAGATGCCCTGAAGTCTTTTTCCAGAAGGTATACTGAGATAAAGTAACTTTTTATTGACATTCGATGATAACAAATATGCTATAGATTGGTCTTTATATTGAATAAAAAGCTACTTAGTAATTAAAGCTAGGCGCCAATGCTAACACAATGCTAACACTTCAAGAAAACATTTGAGTCAGTCAGCTCTAAAAAAATGTTTGTGAGCCGCTGGGCTTGATGCTGCCAAAAAACTCAGTCCCTCTTGCTCTACTGCAATAACCTCTGGGTTATAGAGCTAACATTTATGGTTTTAGTTTCAAAGTGTCTGATTTATGATGGTTGTATACTCCAGTGAAACTGGACTTTACTGTCCAATGTGCAGATTATATAACCAATTCAGTTGGTGTGTGTGTGTGTTTGGGTTGGGCGGTTGGGGAATTTTCAGCATAGATAGATAAATAGAGAGATCTTCAGAGAGACACTTAGCATAGTACACACACACACACACACACACACGAGAATTCACATGGCCGTGCGACAGGAACAGTCCCCAACTAACCTGGCACTGAGTCATAACATTCTTGTCAGTTCAATTTAACTTATATTTAGAACCAGAGGGGCACACACATGCACACACACACATGCACGCACACACGCACACACATGCATATCCTCGCACACACAGAAATGACTCATCACGAAGACATATAAATACACGTTTGTGTGTGTGTGTGTGTGTGTGAAAGGCTCTGGATGTACAACATTACACACACACGGATATGCTTGACACACTTTGACCTCATTGACCTTAGTGCCCTTGTTCATGAGCAACTGATACGGATGTGATTATGACTGAGATTTATGAGGCAGACACCTCAGTTCAAAGGCAGGTTGTTAGTTTTGATCGAACCGAGCTCCGAGCTCCAAACCCACTTCCTCCCTACCTTGACATAAAGTTGGATTTTAAGTCCCTCTTTTTCAGGCTCTGGCTTCTCCTCGGGCTCCTCCTTCTCAGAGGCCGATGACGACGACGATGAAGACGAGGATCTGCGGGATGAGTTCCTGCCGTCTGCCCCTGCCTCTGCCTCTGGAGACCTCCTCTCCCAATTCAGCTCATTGCTGCTCTCCTCTACCTCTATCTTCTCCTCTTCCTCTCTCTCATCCTTCCGGTTCCAGTCCTCTGCCTCACCTTTGTCTTCATCTTCGGCGTGTGAGGAGGACGAGGAGGATGAGGAGGATGAGGAGGATGAGGAGGAACTGCTTTGCCTCTCCTCTGTGGGAGGGCGAGGTGGCGGGAGAGGAGGGGGAGTCGGTATCTGCGCTTTGGCCCGTCCGGTGTTCTCGTACTCCACAGTCAGCTTGGAGGGCTCGTCGCACGGTGCCTCGTAGGTCAAGTCGTATACGCCCGACGACTGGTTCTCGTAGGTGAACTCTGGGTTCTCGTACACGGGATCCATTCTGTGGGGGGTGAAGAGGTCAAACAGAGATCGTCCTGAGATGGCAGAGCGTGTCGCGGTGTACAGCAGAGTGACCGTGATGCCAACCGTGTTCTACCTTATCAGAAAAGCCATAAGGACTTTGGACAGGGAAGGGAGGAAGGCGATGCCAAGGGAGGACAGCGGTGATGATCCTTAAAGGAGAATACAACTTGGCATACTATTGCTATTGTTGCTGAGAGCCAGTAGCTTCAATTAATTAATCATTTGGTGGCTATGAGCATGCACTGGACCATTTTGAACATTTTGAACCAAGATTATACAGCAATTTACCTAACCTATGTCAATTTAGCATGCAGAGCATTGCAATGCAATGCGGGGACCGGACACCTGTTATTGTTGCCCTTAAAATATATTGCCTGCCTGACAAATTGCAATACAATGCTTGAATGTAAAGGGGTATTGTGTACTAGCTGGTCATGCACTAATTCACCACAATATATTTTCACAGAAGCATTTTTAACGATTTTATTGATTGGATGAAGACTGGGGGCATAATATCTGGCTATTCTAATCCTAATTCAATTTATGTAATGAAATGAAATGTTTAAAAATCAGCTTTTAAACATTTCATTCAACCACATACTTGTCCCGCCCCCCCTTCAACGAATCTGAACGCTGATTCGTTGCTTGAACTGCCAAATTTGTGAGGCGTCCCCTCAATTCTTACGTCAAGGTGGCCACAACATGAGCAGAGTGCGGCCAATTTGTACGTCAAAATAAAAGCCGTGTGTTTTTTCAAACTCTAAATAAATTTATTCGTATGCATCACAGGATTTCTATTCACAATATAATAGAATTTGAGTTGCTAATTATACGGAAAACGAAACTATAGATGGCAAAAAATAGCATTTCTTTGTATCACGGCGTGCGGCATTTCGAAGAGGTATTTATTTTGAAATACGTTGCCGGAAGTGTCGGAAACAATCTTACCTAGCTAGACAACGTCCCCGCGTTTCGTTTGTTTTGAGGAAGTCAAGTGACGATGTTGCTGCGAAAGTAGACTGAAGGAGAAAGTTAACAACATTATACAGTTAACAGTATTCAACGAAACTGTCTGGAAGACAACTGGCTGTCAGCCCCCTTTTACAGGTAGCGTTATACATTAAACTGTTATAGCGTTACGTGAACGCTGTAACATTAGCAAGCTAGTATATGCTATGCGTGCAGCTAACCGGTTTGTCCGCTGATAGTATTTCAGTATTTCTTGCGCCATTATTCCTTTGACTTCTGCATTGTTTTAAGCATTTATTAATGTGATTATTAGAGGCGTGTATATGGTATTTTTCGTGACAAACGTGGACTTCCTGGTTGTGGTTTGACCTCTCCTTTTCTCTTTCTAACCTCACAAGAGAGACTCAGTGCCTCTCTTGTCTTCCAGCTGTATCCAATGTTTGTTTGTCAATCTAATTTCTTCACATTTGCTCCAATTTCACGCATCTCTGAGATCACAGCATGAGATCTTGGCTTTCGGAAATTACTTCACTGACTCCCTCAGTTCAGAAAGAAAATAAGAAAACCGGATTGACAGAAAGCGAGCGGAAAAGGATGAGAGTGTTTGGGGGGGAATTAAATTACAGGCCAAATCGTGTGTAAAATAGGCTGTTTGCAATCCTGCAGTCACGTCCTTGTAATTAAAATACACCTTTTAACTGGTATGCTTGTGTCGTTGAGGATCTGAAACGTGCTGCTGTCTCAGCAGCACTCTGAGAATGAGCATATGAGCCAAATGTGTCTGTTTTTAGTCCTCTGTAACCTTGTTTCCGCAGTCACAATCGTGTCAGTTGACTTGTAGTTTGATGCATATGAAACAGGATGTTGAGTGAGAAGAGGTATGGTGACTGAAAAAGTTGGATCGGTGAAGAAGGGAAGGAACCAAATCCTATTTTTGGCTTCACTTTCTCTGTGGGCTTCTGTGTGTCAGAATTATGATGGTCATCATCATTGTGCTCAGTTCCTTTTTATTCTCTTTCAGTTTAGCCACGTGAAATTGACTTTCAGATCTTTTTTATCATTACATTACATTACAGTCATTTAGCAGACGCTTTTATCGTTTTTTTGTAGACGGTCTTCTGTGTAAGCGCACCATCCAGTCACACGGAATTGTAAGAGAACCCATTTTCCTTCACGTCTTCTCAGGATGTTACTGAAAGTGCTGCTGGGCCTCCTGTGTGGCGTCGGGGCCTCGGGCGCGGGAAACAGCACGGCTCGGCAGGGCCCTCCGCCGCTGCTGCTGGTGTCATTCGACGGCTTCCGCGCCGACTACCTGCGGCGGTTCCCCATGCCCAACCTGAAGCTCCTGTACAGTCAGGGGGTCCTGGTGGAGCAGCTCACCAACGTCTTCATCACCAAGACGTTTCCCAACCACTACAGCCTGGTAACCCCTGCGGCTTGTTTTGATTGTGTGGCACAACTACATTTTAAGCAGACTGAACCAATTAAGTCTCAACAAGATAGACATGAATAGAAGATGACAAACCAAGAATCTTCTCCTCTCCAGGTGACGGGGCTGTACGCCGAGTCCCACGGCATCCTGGCCAACAACATGTACGACCCTGTCATCCACAAGCACTTCCACGCCGGCGTCAACGACACCGACCCGGTGTGGTGGAGCAAGGCGCGGCCCATCTGGATCACGGCGCTGGACTCCGGCTACAAGACGGCGGCCGCGATGTGGCCCGGCTCCGACGTGGCCTTCGGCAACCGCACGGCGTCGCACTTCCAGTCCTACGACCGCCACGTGACGTTCCGACAGCGGCTGGGGAACGTGACGCAGTGGATGCTGGGAGATGGAAAGGTAGGAAAGCATACTTCTTCTGTTTGCCTGACGGTGTCTTTCAAGGTTTCCATCCCGCCTATTTTTTGCCATTGACATCCTGTACCACACACTCTATTCCACCAGGAGGAAGGAGCTATATTCGCAGCGCTTTACTGGGAGGAGCCGGACCAGTCGGGTCACATATTCGGCCCGGACAACGACACTGCCATGAGCCAAGTGCTGAAGGAGGTACTGTCCTTTTTTTTGCTTAAAATCTCAGAGAAGCTCACTTAACCACAACACAAAATGTTCCTGAAATCTTCTGCTCTGAACTAAAATGTATTTGTTGGAAGCATCATTTTGTCATCCTTATAATAAAAAGACTAGATTCGTACAGAGCTCCCCTACACTTCAGGTTTTGCTCAACGTAAACCGGTACTGACAGCCGCGTGTCCGCTCGTGTGCGACCAGGTTGACGACAACATCGGCCTACTGATCTCGGAGCTGCGCCGCACCGGCCTCTGGGGTCGCGTCAACGTCCTGGTGACCAGCGACCACGGCATGGCCCAGTGCTCGGCCGAGCGCCTCATACGGCTGGACAACTGCCTCCACCCCGACAGCTACACGCTGGTGGACCTCTCGCCGGTCACGGCCCTCATCCCGCACCAAGGTAACCGGGCCCACGCGAGATGAAAGGGCCTGCGTACGAACATGCGGCCGGCGGTGGACATTTACTCACACAAACGCCTCTTTCTGTGCATGTGCTTTGCAGACCCGGAGGCCATCTGCACCTTGCTGAATATGTGCCACCCCCACATGAGGGCGTATTTGAAGTCGGCCATCCCCGACAGGCTGCACTACCGGAACAACGAGCGCATCCAGCCGATCATAGCGATCGCCGACGAGGGCTGGACCATAGTGCAGCGAGGGAACGAGCTGCCGCACTGTACGTTTAATCATTGTTTTCCTCTTTACTGTGATAGCCCGACATTTGATCCCCTTCACCCACCGCTCTCCTTCTGTCCCCTCCAGTGGGCAACCACGGCTACGACAACTCCCTACCCAGCATGCACCCCTTCATGGCGGCGGCGGGGCCCAGCTTCCGCGAGGGCTATCGGATCAGCGGCCTGCAGAGCGTGGACATCTACCCGCTCATGTGCCACCTGCTGTCGGTGCCCCCGCAGCCCAACAACGGCAGCCTGAACCAGGCCCGGTGCCTGCTGGCCACCGAGACCTGCTGGGAGGTCCCTCTGGTGGTTGGCATGGTGGTGGCCGTCCTGCTGGTGCTCACCGCGATCACTGGTGAGTCCGAAATGACTCGAGTGTGATAAGTTAAAATCAACAGGTTTGTTTGAGCTCTACTAACACGACCTGTTGCTCTTCAGTTCTGTTCAGGTTCCTGAGGTACCGCCGCCCGTCAGGCTCCCGGCCCTTCCAGAGGCTGCAGGTTGATGACGACGACGACGACGAGCCCCTGTTGGAGTAAACCGATCCCATCCGGGCTCTCCAGAGGTACTTCACATGATGCGCTTTACTCACCGAGGCCCCCGGCTGTCACTCAGTGTGTGTGTTGTTCATGTGGCCATAAACAGTAGAAAGGTTGTTTTAAATACGTTCAGGCCCACTGACACCCGCTGGGCAGTCGTTCACTGCTGTGAACACTGTTCATAACTTCATAAGACTTGAAACCAGCTCTGAGGAAATATTGAAACCTTTTTTTGGTGGTAGGTTGAACATTGAGATTAATCATTTTATTCTGGGAGAAAAAGAGGACTTTTGTTTAAGATTAAGAGATTTATTATTTATTCTTCTGCGGTAATTGTTTATAGAAATCTTTATTTTGTATGTGTGGATTTCACTTTTCTTTTGTACTTGTGTTGTTACTTTTGGTCAGCAGAGGGAGCCAGTAGACTGAGATTTATATTGCGTCTCACTGAGATCCTGTTTGTCTTGAAGCGTGAAAGATTGTTCGCTGGAAATCTTGTGATGGTGTTTCTGCGTGTGCTGTTACTGTTTTGGTTTATTTGTTTATTTATTTGTTACACTGATAACCTGAGTCTCAAGTGATCCAAAAAAAAAAAACTTGGATTCTCCTTTTATCCATCCTTAACTAAAATTTCACATCTGACTTGATGTATTTTTACTAATGAATTATAGTGTGAGAGGTAACAACAAACGGTGAAGTGGAAGGGTGTTTTGAAGAGAGTGTTTTCTATGCAAATTCTTCAGTAAGTGTCTGTTTCAGGTATCTATTCTGTACTTAAGCATGTATTCTAGTGATACCAAAGACCGTTGTTAAGATGCACAATAGACGCTCCAAGTAGATGTGCAACATAGGTTTTTTTACAGAGGGATTTGCTTCATAAAATTTAAAGCAGTTCAATGAATTTTATTCGCATCATGCGGGGCGGTAACTTACTGGATCAGCTGGATGTTAGTAGCACAAGATGAAACTCAAGGAATAATAAATATTTCAGAGCACCTTCTTCTTCTTAATCTTGCTGATGCTTACTGATGCCTCTTTTCTCACTATCATCAAATCCCACGCACGAAAAGACCAAAACAAACGATGAATGTTTCCGCTAACGAGTACGGTGTGTGTATCGAAGCCATATAAATCCTTTTGCGCTGTGCCGTAGAGCTCCATTGTTATTAAAAACACATCACTGAGCCGCACTGTTCCTCAATTTGTTTTGACTCAATCCCACACAAACCGTCCTGCTGCCCCAAATACTCACGAGAGCAAATGTGTATTCATCCACGGCTAAAAGTAGACCCTAACAAATGCACTATTTTCTCCTTTTTTGAGGAATGTTTGCTCAAAACTACAGTGCCCAGCTGATTCAGGAGATTATTAGTGAGTTTATCATGAGTGCCGCCAACAGGACAGGGATGAGATTTTCATGGGATTTATTAAAAATAACTCAACTTTAGAATATCTCCAGCCTCATCTTTTAATGCAGCTGCTCGCATGCTTCCGGCCACGTATTTAGTGATATGTATATAGTGTCCATGCATCTATTCATGTGTGTAAGTATGCGTTTTTGCTGCTGAAGTGAAGAGGAACAATTTCATGTCTAAACTTTTGATATTTATGGGTGTTTGTGGTCTTTTAATGCTACATGTAAGTTGAGTCTTTGCACTCTATGCTGTGTTCCATCCATAAAGTTACTCTTTTTAGTTTTCTTGTCATAAAAGCTGGTAAAACTTCGGCACAATCCTGCCTGGCCTGTATAGAGATTCCTGTGAAATGACAATTTTTGAAAACAAATAAAGTTAATTGAAAATGTGAAGTTTCTTTTTTTTACAATAAGTGTCCCTACATGGAAAGAAAAAGCGACACACATTTGGAAAAATTCATTTATATTCCTTTATATATATTTTTTTTCTCCATCGCAGTCACAACATTACAATGTAATAAAATGGTAAATATATAAAATCAAACTCAATACTGACGCATATACATTTCTGTATCGTGTTCAAAACCAAAATGAACTGCACATGTTTTCATTTATATAACTGTTTCACATCATTTAAAATCTGTCATAATTTCTATGTAGTCATCTGTATAATTGTAAATCTTTGTCTCTTCACAAATAAATAGACTTTATTTTCAGGAGGTATTGTAACAAAAATAACACATTTCCCAGCGCTGGCCACGTAGAGCCATTGAAAATATCATTCAACTCTTCCCCAGAATGCTTTAACGGTTATCGTAGACACGCAACACACGGACAAACAAGAGACACCAGATGTGCCGGCTTGTTTCGCTCCCGTTTCTTTTGCGGTTGGTCAGAAAACATTCGCTATGATTTCGGGAACCCGCCCCCCCCCAAAAAAAGACCAGAAGATTCCTGAATGGTGTTTTTTATGAGCTGAAGCAGGAGCGGTTTGAACACGGTCGATGACAGCAGCCATCATTTCTACAGTGAAGACAGGTGATTAGACAGACCCTGCTTTCATCAGAATAACAAAAACGGTGTGAGGTGTGTCCCTCTTTGAACATTTCCTTCCTTAAGTTTGAAATATGTGCTTATGTATTGAACTGTTTGGCATGTAGCTGCATGCTGCAAATAGGACCATTGCATCAAGTTATTTAATCACGCCCAAAGTCAAAAATGTCCATCTTAACAAATATGACTACTAAATTGCTCTTTTACTTTGTTTTTTCTCAAAAGTTGGTTCCCAAAAAATGGTTTTGAGAGGTTTTTCTCTTTAGATTTCTGCCTACACCCCAATACAGTGGAGGTGAATGGAATTTACCTTTATTTCACAGTATTAAAAAAAATGTATATTTTAAAAAACAGTTTGACAAATTTAAAAAATACACTTATTTGCTTTCTTGCTGAGAGTTAGACAAGAAGATTGATACCACACTCATTGATGTACACTAAATATGAAGCTAGAGCCAGGAGACGGTTAGCTTAGCATAATGACTGGAAGTAAGGGGAAATAGAGAGCGGAATCGAGCTGGATTTGTCCGAAGTTAAAAATGTTGGAAAGAGCTAGCTTGGCCAAAGTGTCAACTTTGTAACGAGCCAAGCTGGCTCCTTCCCACGTTTTTAAACTTTCGAACACAGCTAGCTAGCTTCTGGTCTTTGTGCTAAGCTAAGCGAGTCAGCTGCTGGCTTCAGCTTCATTTAAAGCATACAAATATGGAAGTGGTGAATATTCTTATTTTTTTAACACAAAATAAGAGGGGTCAAAATGGACATTTTGGTACTCTGAATGAATAAATAAATTGACTTCTTCACTCATCATTGATGGTCTCTCTTTGCAGAACAATTACAAACTATTTGTTGTGTTTATCAGGAATGTGAGAGACAAATATTACATCCGTTCGTCCTAATCGCTCTTCCAGAGAAAGGGAGCCAAAGCTTGGTTGCGCCTCCCAACACGTCATTCTGCCTACAGATCTAATACCAGTGTGCTTATACTCGAGACAACACAATGGCACGGACTCCTACGAAAAACACAGTTTCCAGTCTTCTCCCGTCTTACATTCTGGATATTTATAAAGAACATTTACTATCGGTACATTTTGAAAGAGCCATCTAACCAACTCATCGAACATAGATCCAACTGAGGGGGATTACCAGAAAAAGGTATTTACAATCAAAATGCCAACCACGAGAAAATAAAAGGTACTTTTGCACATCGAAATCTCAAAAGCTACTTTTTTTTTTTTTTTTCCAAGCTGAAGAACACAGTAGAAAAGCATGGCCCCGACAAAATAAAAGCTCATGGTACATCTTATAGATACATCATCCACGTTAAGGTTTAGTTCGACCCTGCCCTGTGCTTATAGTATCCACACCTGAGTCAAACCGCTGAAATCACTCCTGACGCTTTCCCCAAAAAGAACGGATTTCAGCTGTCGTTGGACTCGGATCTGGTCAAAACTGGTCTGAGATCAGAAACAGCTTAGCGTCTGGCTCTCCAGTTCTACAGAACCATGACGAGTAATGATAATTTCACAGCTCCGGACCAAGCAAAAACTTTGGCGAAAAAAAAAAAAAGCATATGAAGCATCACGGACACAAGGCACTCACACACACATGCACACACACACACAGCCTAACCACAGGCCTCATATGCTTTGCAGACCCTGATACTGGAACATTTACATGTTTATCCAAAGAACAACAAAAAAATAACTTTCTGGTTTTACGTTTCACAATCGGATGCACATACCTCCTTGCATCCTTCCTTGTTATTCCCTAAAGATACATTACAGTGCCCCCCCCCCCCCCCCCCCCCCCCTCTGCCCCAGACCAATTTCAACCCATCAACAGACAAACTCGATGGAGAAAAATGTAAATTAACTCCATAGAAAGGATATGCAAGATTACCAAAATCATCACAGACATATGTAAAAAGTCAACTCATGATATATCACGCGTTTGCATTGTTGCACATTAACACTTCCTGGTTTCTTCTCCTCTTATTAGTAAACAAAGACAAAAGGCGATACAATTACAAGGAATACACGAGAACAGTGATGTGGTTTTTTTTTTTTTTTTCGTAAAGGTTATTCAAGCCCAGAACCTCTCTGTCTGTAACCTTGCATAGCTGTAGATGTGTAGCCATACAATGACACCGACTGGATTCTTCCTACAGAGTGGGCCTGGCTAAGGCTCTGGGTTTTTGGGTGAAGTTTCATTTGGAGCGTGCAGACTCAACTGTAGAGTGTACATCATTTATTTTTACCAGATATGAAGGTTAGTGTGACATCAAAACAAAATGGAGACAGTAAGAAGGTATGACACCTGCAGTTTTGATTATGAGGCTACTGCCGAGTCTGAATGCCACACGTGAGAACTTCTGTGTAAAGAAGGAACTGTGTTTTTTTTTTTTTTTGGTTGTGTCAGACCTGATTTGCGTTGAACCTGATCTCTGATTGGCTGGAGCTCTGGGTGCAAAGGGGGCCACGGTTTTGGGTCAGAGGTCAGTGCGAGGGAGGGGGGGAAGCTAGTGGGACTGCAACCCAAAATAAGCTGACTCTTCAAACCTGTAAGCCTCTGCAGTGACCACGTGTTTCCTCAAAATCTAAGACATTCATGCAAGAAATTCACGATCTGAACAGAAAATGTCGCATCTTCGTGTTTTTTTCTCTGATTCCTGTGCTCGGACACATCTAAACCCATGCTTAATGTACAGTGCATGTCCACGTCAGAGTGTACCAAAAAAATAGCACCACCCTCCTAAAGTTAATCTTTAACCATGACTCGGGTATCTTAAAAAAAAAAAGAAGACTTGTCCATCTCCACTTCTGTCGAGCGGATAAGGCTTCGTTGCTTCTTCCTCAGAGACGGAGGGTGTTGCTGTTTTTCTTTCTCTACACTCTCAACGTGAGGAGACCCGGACTGACCGAATGACTCGATCAATCTGAACCTGAAACACTCTAAACATACCTGGCTAAATTCTTCACACCACTGTGACCATAACAATACAAAAAACATCCGTCTTTACTTGATAGCACCATATGAATATTGTTCCCAAATTATAAAGGGGTAAGGGATTATTGGACATTAGTGTGTGTGTGTGTGTGTTGAAGCGGTGAGGTAGGGACACATCCCATGTTGTTGCACTATTTCTCACTGTGTACTAAGCATATCTCCCTGCTGTGTGTGTGTGTGTGTGTGTGTGGGGGGGGGGGGGGACCCTGTGTGTTGTGAGCGTGTACACGAAGCACTTCTCCTAGCGTCGGAGACTTGCATAGCTTCTGCAGGAACCGGGAAGAGCAGTTGTCCGTTCGGACAGAGCCTTTTGGCACAGCCTTGGCGGACAACTGAAGGCAGTACTCAAGTTGCACCATAGAATTCAAAGAGACAATCTGCCCTTATTGCACCATAAGTACGTGTGTGGTGTGTGTGTGTGTTTTTCGTATTTGCACCATATGAAGTGGGATTAGCAGCCAATTGACTCCGTAGCTCGTTGCACCATATGAACACCGATGCTGCTGCTTCTGCTGCGCGTTCGCACCTACTGAATCTGGTTGGCAGCAAATTAACTGATTTGTCCTGTTTGTTGTTGGGTTTTTTTGTAAATCGGCTATAGCACCACAGAAAAATAATGTAAGCTCACTGTTCGTTCACGTTGGTCTAACTTAAAGGGATACGTCAACATTTTTTGGTGTTAGTCTCCTTTTTTTTTTTAAACGTTTGGCTGAAAAATGACACGGCTGCTACAAATTATTATTTTCATGGTTCATTAATCTGTTGAGCATTTTTTGGATTCATTATTTAGTCCTTAACAGAGGGCCGTACTCAATCAAAGTCTGTTTTTTGTCTTGGGGGGTCCTACTGATAGATTGCCTCAAGTGATGTCACTTGAGTCAGGGTCGGTTGGGGCTGAGGCTAACTACAGGTTTGAAAATTAAAATGATCCCCTCTACAGCCTACTCCTGATCTCTGATTGAGGCTAGCAGCTCGAGGAAATTAGCCTCTACTAGCATCACACACCGAAGTGTTGGTAGGTGAGTTGCATTGTGGATAATGTAGGCGGCAGGTTTTGATAAGAAACGGTATCAATTTTTTTTTTTTATCCACCGTTAGTCCGACAATGTTAAGAGTGCAATGCTAAATTGGTCGAGTGCTCTTCTAGATGATCATGATCCGTAAAGATTGGTGGGAACCACTGGTCCCAAATTTTAAAAAGGTCATCACCCATCTACACATCTGTTCCCACTTTCCTCATCAGCATCTCAGTTCGTTCCCTGCCAGACCATCAAAGTTGCTTTGTTGTTTCTCGCCATTTGCTTCTAAGTCTCTGATCCCTGTACCCTGTAATCCTATTGCCTGGAACCTCTACCTGGTTTTGGACTTTAGGTTTCCTGCCTGTAAGTGTATTTATAATCTAAATTTTTGCTTGATTACTGATTTATTTAATCATTATATTATATTAATTGTTGTCAGATAACTTTCTGTCAATCAACTACTCAAGTATTTGTTTCAGCATGAAAAAAACATTTTATATAACGGTCAATTTTACTGATTTAAAACAAATTTGCTTTCAACACGATTTCTTTCCTACAATTTGACACACCTTGACAAAAGAAAAATAAGCACCTGAAAATGTTGACGTCCCCCTTTTTTTAACTCTCTTTACCCGCTCTCAAATGCAACATCTTTCTCTTTCACATTCTCGATCCTCTTGGACAGCAGCTAATAATAACAAGAAGCCTGTGAGTGTTCATCTTTTCTAACCGCACCATCTGAAAGCGTCACATGGCTGTGTTTCACCTGCCCTACCACTGACATGGGACTGGAGAAAAGGCGCGGCGCGTTTTGGACGGCAAAAAAAACTTTTGCCGCATTCCAAACGCTTGTGTCTACTCGCCCGGTGTCGAGGCGGCCCCCCTGATGGCGTGTGGTTTGGGAAGCAACGTCCCCCGTCGACGGACTGATGACCGACATCTCGTGCTTTGTCGCCTGCCAATGTAGCAGCTTGGATCACAGGGATAAACAAACCAAAGAAATAAATAATGAGCCACACATCACAGCTCAGCCGTGGGTGGCTTCGGAGGAGTTGATATTGGACTCGTTACAGTAGGAGACGAGTCATTGAGAGGGTTGTGACGATTAACGACCAAAACTGTTTTGTGTCAGCTTCAGTGGCAGCACCCTGTTAGCGTGAGACCAACATAATTAAGACTTCACACGAAAATGTGGTAGACACAGTTCAAAAGTAATTAGCCTTGCATTACCTAGCAAGGTAAACCGACAGAGTAGCTGAAGAAAATCTAACCTCCCGACATAACAGGGAATGATGGAGATGAACTGTTAGACCCCTAGATGGCATACTTGTTAGTATGTGCTGCCTTATGCCTCTTGCATTGGGGAATATTTATGATATAACCATACATAAGTAACACTGAAAACCTCAGCAGCCTGTCACACGTATTCCGCCAACATGGGAATTCATCTGTAAGATGATGGTGCCACTGTGTTTTTTGGGATTCTTCTGTTTCACTTTAAAACTGGAACATTTTGGAGTCTCCATAAGAACGGTAGCATTAATATCATATTTAGCTCTCGTTCCATGCTAACACCATAGCATACACGCTTGTGAGTGTGAGAGAGAGTAACAGTCCTCTTGGCAATAAAAAGATAATTTCTTTAACACGTGGCCTGTAGATTGGTAACGTTTAAAGCTGTCTCAGCTAATATCTCAGCTATCTCACTGAGTTTAGCCGATGTAGCAAGTTTTTTTTTTGGCACAGAACATTTTTATTTGCACAGTTTCACATTGACAGCCATTCAGAAACAGGAACATGACATTGTTTTAGAGGTCTTATTTTGAGCTGCTTTGACTTCTCCTGTTCTCACTTTTGGAGTTAATGTTGCTAACTGTCGTCATGTATCGTGTATGCTTTAGTGTTAGCATTCTTAAAGAAATAGTTTTAGAAAATGCGCTTATTGTCTTTCTGGCTGAGGGATGATACCTCTCCTTTCTTTAATTTCAAACATAGCAAAGCTAGCTGATTCCCTCAGCTCTGCTAATGGACTCCTGACTCCAGCTCCATGTTTACGGTGCAGACATGAGAGCGAAACATAACTAACTCTGGCAAGTAAACAAATATGTGTATTTCCTAAAATGTCAAACCATTCCTGTAGCGCAAACTTTGAGTGAAATTTGGAATTTGCTTGAGTGTGTGTCTCTGTCTCCATCTTTCCCATCATGCTCTGCTACTCTCCCTGATAACCTTGTCAACATACCTCCAAAAACGATTTGTCCAACTGCTTTGTCCCCAGTCGACAACAACGTCACGGTACATAAAAAACATCCCTTCTATACATAGAAAATATATACACTACCTTTTGACTAGACTAACGACGACATGTTCACAAATTCCTTAGTGACGTTCTTACTTTGTGTCACACCTTTTTATTCTACTGAAACCCGTGGAAGTGCGAGCGACACAACGTAAACGGCATGCGGTGGTCCAAGACTCCTATGTGAAGCCGCGCTCCTTTTTCTATTTTTAGTTCACAGCTCAGCACGAACGTGTGGTATTAATTCACTGAGACCAGATGAAGAGTGGACAGAGGAGTTGGAAATAGAGCGTCAGAAGGATGAGCAAGGAAGGAGATGGACTCGCGCTGAAGCAGCTTGTTGAGTCATGGCAATGGGACTCGCAGGTTGTGGTGCCCGCAAGGAATGTGTGTGAATATGTGTGTGTGTGTGTGTGCATAAAAGTGTGACTGATTACTTTTATGTCTGTGTGCTTACATCAAGTACGATGTTGTGCGTCTGAATCTTCTCTAAATCTGAACATCCATGTGTACGTACATGTTTTTTTAGGGTGCACATGTGCTTATGTGTGCTGATGTTTGTGTGTTGACTTGTGTGTGTCAGAATGAGGACTCATACTGCAACAGTTCATACAGCAGGGGTCCGTCACGGTAGCGAATGCCCACAGCGGCCGGCGTTATGTACTGCAGGATGTTTATAGTCCTCCGCAGGCGCCTGTCTACGTAGTGTGCGTCCCACGCTGGGTAACGCTTCCTGGGCATGTCGATTTTTATGAGCGGGCCCTCGGCCTTGGAGGTGAGGATGGGCGCCGACCTCACCTGGAAGACGGGAAGACACGTCTCGGCCACATCCTCGTCCGTCTCGGACTTGGCCATGTGGGCCGGGGTGGGCGGGGCGGTGGGCGGGGCCGACGGGGGGAGGGGGAGACCCCAGAGCAGCTGGGCGCAGCAGGACGAGGCGGGGCTCGGCTGGAGGTGGGAGGTGGCGGGGTGCAGGAAGCCGTAGTACAGCAGCATGACCAGGACGCCGCCGGCGAACGTCAGGTAGACGCCACACAGCGCTGGGACGGCGTAGGAGTCAGTCAACACTGGGTCCCTATAGGTGTACCTTTTAGGATGGTGGCGACAGACAGGGTTCAATTCAGGTGTCTACTTGTACTAATGCTATAACTTTTTAAATTTTGATTAAACATGATATTGTATTAGTTGCATCCAGGTTCAAGATGCAAGGAAATGCAACTCACCACAGTCCAGTCAGGATGGTGTTCTCGGCCAACACCACAATGTAGTACGCCACCATTCTGTACCGCGTCCGGCCCTCCTTCACGTTGAACCAGCAGAAGATGTAGACGATGCCGACCACCATGTTGAAGAGCACCTCCTCCCACTTGGACATGCAGAAGTCGGTGCCTCCGTGCACCACCCAGAAGGCCATGGCGCACCAGTGGACCACAACAAAGATGCCGAAGTAGATGTGGAAGAGGGAGGCGAAGAGGGCGAGCGAGAGGACGCGTGACGAGATGGTGAAGAGGCGCCAGAAGAGGTGCAGCAGCGCCCCGCGGTAGCTCATGCTGCGCTGGTCGTCACGGGAATCCCGCAGCAGCTTGTGGTAGGAGGCCAGGACCCAAGCGAGAGACAGGAGGGAGCCCAGCGAGGAGATGCCTATAGAGAGTCAGAGGAGGGTCACAGAAGGCGAAAACAGAGAACAGAGGTGGCTGATGATGTGGGTACTTTTTATTTCTGTGTGACTCAATCAGAACAAAGTAGAATCAAGTTTTCATGGTTCGTGAAACAAAAAGCACACAAATTTCATTATGAGTCAGCTGGGGTGTTTTGTGTAACAATGTAAGCGCATCCTTAAATACAGCAGTGTGTGACGCAACAAACATTTGGTAATGGCACTGAATGGTATGAGCCTGAAACTGTTATTTTGAATGTCCCAGCTGCTGTGTGCATCCGCCCCCTGTACTAGTCACATATTTGCATAAAAGTAGAAGGTGTCCCTAAACTCCAGAGGCATAGGGATGAATAACACCAGTGGGTGGCCGCCTAGATGATACATGTTCTGGATGAATAAGGAAGAGTAGGCCGATGGAGTTCGGCTAGCACGTCCCCCGGACACCTATGATTGCACTTTTTTTCTAGGACTACCAGAACCAAAAGCACTGAAAACTGCACCATCTGCAGCCACAAATTACTGAGCATGATGTGTGCACATTCCTAATTACTGTTTGTGCAGCTGTTACTGTATGTGCTTTGTGGTCTACATGAAAACAGGGCGTTGTGTTTTTGGTAAATGTGTCCATCCACCCACACTGCAGCGTCTCGGCCCGGTTCTCCTGGATCATGATGCAGAGCTGCAGGACCAGCTGAGGTGCGGACTCCAGGAAGGTCTCCAGCAGCCGCAGCATGTTGACGTCCGCGTACTCGAACATCATGGCCCAGTACCAGCGCCGCTGGTGCTCCTTCTGCCGACGCGACATGATGCCCAGGTACAGAGTCCTGATGTACCTGCAGGGGATCAGAGGTAAGAGCACTAATTATAAACGCATCATTTTTCGGCCCTATTGTTTTTTTTCCCTCAGTCATTTTTCATTTATTTTCTTTCTCACTACTTCCTGCGTTTTTCCTGCTTGTGACTTTACTTTTAAGATGCTCCCTTCTACTACTGCTATCATTAATTATTGATGAAATATTAATCGGATTATCCTACTCGATTAATCGATCATCAGAAAAGAAAAGAGCTACCATCAGCTTCTTTTTTGACAATCAATCGTTGCAAACATTTGCTTTTCTTCATCACATATGATAGTACCCTGAGTATCTTTTGGTCTGGGATGTTGGTTTGGATAAAAATAGCACCTTCATAAATGATTGTGGCCATTTTCACTCTTTCAGGAAAACTATCAACAGATTACTCAATAGTTGAAGCTCTAATGCGGCTACGATGTATAGCGCTATCGAACTTGTACTGTAAATATTTCTAGGTTTCATCACAGTCTGATCGTTGATGGAACATCTTTATGAACAAAGATGGAGGAAACTACAGTACATGTGGGTGGGATGTAGGCAGCGGTTTCCATTAAATCGCCCAAGGGCACTCACAGACTCTGTGTGGATGCATGTATGTGTTTATGTATGTACGTGCGCAAATCCTCCTGGTTCCCCGTGAGCGCATTACTAATACCCGTGCACGGGTGTCAACGTGTGTGTGCATGTACTCCTACATTATGCAGGAGTCTGCATGTGCGGCTCCATGTTTGAAACATATGAGCTTTATTCGCAAAACATAAATAATGCAGCATCCCTGGGAAAACGCCCACATGTGCATGCATGCCACTTCAGTCACATACCAGTCTGGCTTAATGCAGATGCCTGTGGGCGATCAATCATGGGAGGGCTTCTGGCTAATCAATGATCGAGTGGCACGTTGAGGAGGGAGTGTCTGCTACCTGGAAACTCCAATGTGGCCTGCATTATCATTCCCATACTTGGTTACAAGCACAAGCTTGTGGACCATGGACAACTTACGATGTAAATATTCTGGACGGACGAGCCAAAGTGCTTGTCCGGCGCCTGTGGGATAAACCTAGAGACTAAGATGATCCTGCGCTCTCAGAAGAACTCCTCAGGACTCAGAACACCTGGGTAGAGGAGCTCTTGAAACCCATAGTCGTCTATCACTGCAACATTCCAGCTCACATGGACCAGCCCAATGTCACCCATGAGGCTACTATCTTTTGGATCGCCTCCCAAGTTGCCAATCTGCGCACAGAGGAATCTCATGGCACGGGTAACTGGTCAAGGGTAGTCCTTCAAGGGTAATTGGTCAACGGTAATACCAAAAAGACCCACTCAGTGCCTTGGTTGGAGATCTGCGCTGAGCTTACTCCGCCAATTGGACGAACAGTGCTCGGGACGGATTCCTGAACGGTTCTATATTGGTTCAAATCGGACTCCTGCAGGTTTACGGTCTTTATCTGGACCCAGATTGCTGAGATCCAGGAGCTCACTGGCTAGCTCGGATGTTCACGTCAGGACTGTAGAAGTCAATATTAAAGACTAAACACGACCAGTTAGCAAGTTCTTTGTGCTTCCTGAACTTCCAGATGACAGCGCTCCCTCATGACAGCATCGTTACTGGTGGCCCTTTTTAATAATAAGCACATTTGCAAATGTGGGTGCGGTTCACATCAGGTCTGGCTTAATGCAGAGGCAGGGCAATACCAATCATGGGAGCCGCTCCTGGCTAATCAACAATCCAGAGGCACGGTGAGGAAAGAGGAGAGTTTCTGCTGCATGAAACCTCTTTATCCTTTCCATACTTTGGCACATGACACACGACTATGTGTGGTCTGATGACACGGTACGTTTTAAACATCTGGAAAATGGACGGTACAGAGTTCATTGGTTATGGACATATTTTCCTCTTGTCCATACAATATGCATGCCTATACGTTTGATTTGCTGCGCTGTATGTTATTGAGTTACCATGACATGATTTTATTTATTTTGTTTTGCTATAATTTTATTTTATTAACGTTTTACCATGATCAATTTATTCAGTTTTGCATTTAATTTTTGTTATTTTCTCTACTTAATTTGGTCTCTTCGGCGTCTCTCCATTTTCGTCTCGTCAATTATTTGTAAAGCACTTTGAATTGCGTTTGATTTGTTTGAAAGGTGCTACACAAATAAACATGCTTGAGTGACTTATTGATTATCCACCCTGACTTCCTGTGTTTAGATCAGGGGTGAGGGGCCATCCCATATATTCCAACCTATTCTTATTATCCTAGTCTTCAGATACGTGAAAGCTTCTAACCAAACCATTTTAATTAAAGCCAAATGAGTGGATTATACAGCTTTAAGATAACACACAAACACCAAAATTATGTTTGTCCTTGACTCAAGAACAATGAAGGATAAATAACCAGCATCGTTTGTTTGGCTTTTCAAAAAAATCTGTTAACAGGAAGTCCTAGTATTCAGGGTAAGGATTGAGGCTTTACTGCGCAGCGTAGACACTTCAAACCTACCGAATACAGTAGATCTTCATCCCCTCTACTCTCACTCCTCTTGCTCTTTTTTCTACTCTCCTCCCCCCAGTTTACGTGTTGTGTATGTGCAACCTTTTCTCCCTCCTCCTCCTTCCCCACCCCTCCTTCCCCCCACAGCCTCTCCATCTCTAAGTGATCCGTCTCAATCAGGCCGTACCATTTCGTCAGCCACAAACATCCCCACTCCCTCCTCCATCTTCTTCTTCCTCCATCTCCTTCTCCTGCCCCTCCACGTGGGAGAGTCCATTCCGCAGGCTGAGGGGGACGACTACTGGGTGGGGTGCATGGAGGTAGAGGTTTGCATGTGTCCGTGTGTGTATACGCGAGGGCCGATTTTAAACCTACAACCACAGAGAGGCCGAGGCAGAGGAGCTGAGTAGCACAGCAGGAGGTCAACACACACACACTCATCACTCTACTCTCCCTGCTGACCGCCCAGAGGCAAGTGGACACCATTAAGGAGTCTTCTTAGAGAGAGGGGAGGGGAAGGGAATGAGAGTAAACGCTGTCCTTGCATAGAGGGCTAGGAGGGAGACAAACAGTGCACTACTGCTACTACTGCTACTACTGCTAGTACTGCTAGTACTGCTTCTGTTAAAACTACACAAACAAGTATGTTAAATAAGACGTGCGTCTGTATAAGAGCAAAAGGGTCCATGTGTGTTTCTGGTTTTTCCCGCCAGTGCTTTTAGCACCACAATTAGCACCTACCCCTGTCCAACTGCGTGTGTGTGTGTGTGTGTGTGTGTGAGTGTGTGAGAGAGAGAGAGATTGAGAGAGAGATGTGTAGCCAGAAGCGCAGATGCTCTCCCTCTTTGTACTCTCCATGCATGCTGACACTCACAGGAAGGGCCATGACACCGTTTTTCCACTGGTCTCACACACACAAGAGCATGCACACACGCAAACACAGATTCACACTTACACAAATATGCACACATGCACACAGACCCAACTTCTCTGTTCTTCAACTAAAGCGAAGGACCCCTGACTGGGACGCTGTCCATGGTGCTGAAAATTACACTGTGGATTGAGGGCACAGTGTGTCAGTGACTTACATTCTGCTTTTTTATTTCCCCCCCCCCCCCCCAACTAGAGATTGTACAGTATGAGTTGCAGAATTCACTTTTCATACGGTGACCCCAAAAAAAAAGAACAGAAACTTAGATCACTGTGTCTCATGACTGCCTTTTCTGTGTCTGCCCCCCCTCACTGCCTCTCTGACTGTCTCTCTTTATCGGCTAACTGTCTGTCATTCCCAGATAGTAAGTGAAGCGCTGGGGGGGGGAGCCTTTCCTTGTCCTCCTCTTGCTCTTCCTCTCTTGCCTGTCAGTGTGAAGCAAGCTTTGCCTTCTTCCAGCTACATCGGGTAGACACCACTCAACCCATTAAGTGTGCGTGTGAGAAAAAGCTTGTGTGAGAGAGAGGGAAAAGGGGGAGGGAGTGTGGTGACAGATTAGGATCAGGTGTGTGTTGTTGTTTGTGACCCCCCCTCCCCCACCTTACCTCCACACTTGTCCCAGCTGGAGGATGTGTATGGTGGCCTGCCACAGCCAGATGGTGGCCAGCTGCAGGCGGTCCCTGCCAGGATACAGGCACCCCAGAGCCACCGCGCCCCGCTTGGTCAGCCCCTCCACCTCCCCGAGCCCCCCGCCGGTGTAGTCCTGCACGAACCAGCGAAAGCTCAGAATCTGCACCAGCACGGACGGCACCAGCACAAAGAAGAGCGTGAGGCCGAACCAGAGGTAGTCCTGCCTCTGGTAGTACTCGTTCGCCAGGCACAGGTCCGTACCAACGTCCCAGAAGAAGACGATGAGGGCAAAGATGATCCAGAGGCAGTCCAGCCACAGCTGCTCGCGGGGCGGGCAGTGAGTCTCCCGGATACCGAGCCCTCCTGCGTGCTGGACCCCGCCGAGAGAGCCGAGGCAGGCTGAGCGGCAGCCCCAGTAGCAAGCGGAGGTGCGGCAGCACTGGCAGATGTGGATCGCGGCGGAGTCCATCGGCTCCTCGCCGTCAACATCGTACAGCTGCGCGAAACCGCCGCTGCCGTACCCGACCCCGGCTTTGCTGCCGTCCGACTGCGCGGCCATGTTCCCCTTCCCGCTCCTGCCCTCCTGCGAAATGCACGACAACCGCACCGTGGTGCTTTCTCGCGGGGCGCGGATTTCACGTCACTTCCCAGATACCTGCTGTCCCCTTCGCTCTCGCGCAGCGGCGACTGCTGTGTCTCTTTCCCGCTCGGGGCGCAAGGAGCCATCAGAGCCAGTGGCCGCGCGACGGCGGATCCCCTTCTTCCTCGTCCAGTCGGGACACCGCCACCGGGCGCTCGCGAGCAGCAGTAGAATCCTTACCCGTTCTAGTCCAGCAGCCCTGAATCATCCCGTCCTGCGCACGCGGTCATCTAGGACGGGGGGAGGCTATGACGTAATGCATCTCCCGCTGTTCTTAAGACGTGTGTGGATGTGTGTGTGTGTGTGTGGGGTGGGGGTGCGCACCGGACACTAGGAACCACGACTAGCGCTAATATAAACCTTCCCGTTCAGTCAACCGGAGGACCCCCGACTCCTGTCTCTCATCCAGCCCGCACTCCGGCTGCAGGTACCCGGCATCCGCTGCAGCCACCAATCCGCTCCTTTCCGCAGCTCCAGCCCCTCTGCAGCTCCAGCCTCAGCTCCTCACTTTCTCCCTCACACTCTCACTCCGCCCCCTACCGGATGAGGAACCTCAACCCAGAAGAACCCACGTGCGTCAGAATATATATATATATATATACATATACAAAATACACTGTATTGGAACAGGGTGGATTGCTTTCTAATGAAATCAGCTAGTTTTCTCCATAGGAGGGAAAATGAGATTTCCAGCGTCTGACATTCACCTCTCCATCATCATCCTTTCCTCCACCTTCCATACCCTCTCTCCCAATAATCCCCCTCCATCTATCCATCCATCTCTCTCTCTCTTTCTCTCTCTCCACGTCCCACCTCTCTCACACTCTCCATCTATCCCTCCAGTGGGCTGACTGCCCCGTGGCTCCGCCAGCCTAATCAACCGTCACATATGTGTGTGTGATCCCTGCAGGGAGATGGAGAGGGTTTAGGAATACGAGAAACTGGGATGGACTCTATGTGTGTGTTTGTGTGTGTGTGTGTGAGAGAGAAGAGTATAGGAACTAGGGAGTTAGAAAGCCGCGAGGCCGCGGATGGAGAAGAGGGATGGAGTTAGAGGACGGATGAAGGGAGCATGAGAGAGAGAGAGCGAAAGAGAAAAGATGATTCGAGCGGAAGCTGCTCCAAAGGGATGAAAAGATTGACAGGAAGAATGCACGAGAAAGAGAGAGGATGACTGGAAGATTTGAGGGAGAAAATGGGTGTGTCGGGGACGGAGGAGGGGGAAAAGGGGGATTAATCCACAAAATATGGAGATGACGAAGGAAGGAGGGATGATTTAGGGAAGTAAATGAGAGTGAGATTAGAAGCAATGTTTTTTTTTTATCATAGAGAAATAATAAAGGGCACTCAGTGAGTATTCCTATCAAACTGAAGTGGCATGCACAGCCCACATCTTAAACACGTGCATGCTCAGCCACCCTTCTCACGAGCGTGACACACACACACACACGCACACACGCGCCTAATTTACTTTGCCTAACCGCTCGCACACACACGCACACAGGCTCAGAAATATGCAAAGCACGTGCTGCATATCTTCATCGTGCACGCGTTTGCTCCTCGTTCTCAGAAGCATGTTTCTGTGCAAGCAATTGCACTTTATCTCTGTCTCTGTCTCTCTCTCTCTCTCTCCCTCTCTCTCTCTCTCTCTCTCTCTCTCTCTCTCTCTGTCCAGTTGCCTCCTGGTTGCCATGACGACCGCGGCTGGAGGATAGGGAGGCGATGGTTAAACATATGCGTATGTTTGTGTGTGACCCCTGACACTTGCACTTAATGCCAATAACACCAAATATGTCTGGGTAGATGTTTGGTGCACATTTCTTTTCATGAATTAAGAAAAAATGAAATCCTTAAAGTCAAGGGTGCACATTGTGTCACATCTGGGAAAACATGTAAATCCAAACTAATTGATCGAGGCTCAATATGCCACAAAAAAGCTTTTTTTTCAACAGTATTGGAGGGAAAACGTGTGAAATTATACAATGAATGTACAAAAAATGTCACTTACATGCAGTAAAAACCCAAACCTCCTCACATGAAGGATGCAGTCTCCACTGTGCAATATTTATCAGAAATGAATCCACCAAAACGCGAGAGGACTGGAGATGAAATGCTGCCTGATGATTTGGTTTAGTTCAACACAAAAGCTTATAAGCAGCGGCAGCAGCTCCTGGGTCAGCAGTAAGCCTCAAGAGATCGAAACAATCATCTCGTTCTGGGTTGTTGGAGTCGGGAAATGCAAATTAGGAGTAGCAACATGTGACTGTATGCAAAACCTTATAGGGAAGCTAAGCACACTGAAGATATAACTAATCGGGCGCGTTCATTTATTTTCTGCTCACAGAGGCGAAGTCTACTTTTATGCTTATTAGAGCTTTTTTGAGTGTGTGTTATTTGGGCTTCATTTTCAGGCACACAAATGCAGAGAGCCCCCAAATGTGGCCAACTGTTTCCAACCAAGTTGTTTTGGAGTTGGTTTATCGACAGCATCAGGCAGAAAATGTCTCTTTTCCAGGGTGTTACGAGAAGAGGATTATGAGAATAAACACACTTAAGCGTTGACGACTTTCTTGCTCCTTTTGGGTCAAGAAATACAGCGGGGATGGTAAAGGAGCTACCACGGGTTGCTCTCCACCGAAGGACCCTTTAAGGGTTTTGCCGCCACGGTCAAGTCGAGTCAAGACACGAGGAACACGAGCTACTGTGAACACAGGTTGAAAACATGTTGATGTCCAAGGCCCCGAAAGTGTTTACTGAGAAGCAAATAAAAACGGAGGCGCTTAATCGTGGCTTTGACTAAGTTATCTCACGGCCCTACGCACAGCCCTGGTGTCGGACTGACTCAGAGAAGTTAGCGCCAAACTGTGCCTCAGATGTCTGGTATCATTAATAATCAGCGTGAGCCAGTAATGAGTAGTATATATGCATCACTCTGCAGAGAGTCTCGGGCCTTTGCAGCGTACTGTACTGTGCGTGAAATTCAATTTATGTTAAAAAAAGAAAGAAAGATAGATTTATATATATGAAGTGCGAGGAGGAATAATGTTAGTTGTTTATTCGCCTGTGTCACTGACGGCAAATTAGCCGGCTTGTTATGACAGACAGTCGTGGGAGTTTCGGGGGAGTGAGAGGCTCGCTGCAAACAGACTGACTCTGAAAGCGATGGGAACATATTAGACTCCACAATCTGCTGGGGCGTAAATATTTTCACACTGCTGAGAATCACTTGGATCATTTAGGGCTGGAAAGCATGTTTGTGTCCAAACCGTCTGTTGCTCGCTGTCGGAGTTTGATCTCTGCGTTCTTTTTTGTTGCTTTGGTACATTTTGAGTTATTGCAGTTTATTTCTCTCGTTTGCCCATAAAAGAGTTGCAAAAAACGACTCCTGCCGCTATCAATCCCCAAGTGAGCATTTCGCAGTCCACCGAGAACCTCTAGTCTCCAAGTATATAAAAATTCTATGATGAAGTTAATACAGAAGAAGGCATGTGTGCATTGCTTCATCAACCAATAGCCAACTTTAGTGTTTTCTTCATTAAAATTCATGCCAAACCGAAGCTAATGTGTTCTATAACGCAACAGCATTTTTATTGTTTGTTTCCATTGTGTCTCGCTGACCTCTAGAGGTCATTCCAGGAAAATGAAAATCCAATATTTTATTGTATTGCATAACCAATGCATTCGGGGGTCCAAACACCTTTGTACCCAAGTGTGTCGCAGAATGATCTAAAGTTAGCTCCTTTGTGTTTCAACAGGGGCCTCCTGCAGCACATGGGAGCATACCAGAAAACCCTGGAGATCACCTACGCTCAGAGAGAGGGGATAGGCGCTTTGTTGGAGGCAGCCGGGCAGAGGTGGGGGGACATCCTGTTTTTAACACCCGTCAATGTAACCTTGGATTGTTATTCAACTTGTGATTTGAGATTCAGAGCGTCACCCTGGCTCTTTAGCTGCCAGTTTCCAAGCGTCGTAAAATAATTTTAGAATTGCAAGGTGGAAATGTGTCTCTCCACGATAATGCCATTTTGCGTGGTGGATTATCTGAGAGAACTCATGCATACCCATGCAGATGCAACACGCGCCTTTCCTCTCAGACATTTTTGGAGATGTCTAAAATGTATAAGATGATAACAGTCGTGTAACTCTTTTTGACCCATTTGGAACCTAACCACTCGCCGCTCTACGTGTTTTCAGCTTGCGGCGTGGCGGGCGCGTGTGTTACCTGGGCTGGGGCCCCCTGGGTACGCTGGGCCTCATCGAGTGTGTCCCCACATTCGGAGCAGGTGAGGGGAATCTGACGTGTCGGCACTTCGATTGCACCAGAACGACCACGTTTTCTGGGTGATAATATTGTTGCAAAACTCGGGCATAAAGGAAACAATTAATTAATGATCAGAGGCGATGCGTTTTACCAGGTTTGCTTTGACATCTGCATGATATGTGTCCTCTCTGTGTGTGTGTGTGTGTGTGTGTGTGTGTGTGTGTGTGTGTGTGTGTGTGAGAAAGGCTGTGAAGATGTTCGTGCTTCATCAGCAGAGGATACAGAGAGCTGAACAACAATGAGGGTCCACTGGTATGTGAATGGAAACAATGGATTAACTTTTTAAACAGAAGAGGGAAACACCACATAGTTTATGAACATGTAATTATTGTACAGAAATACAGAATAAAAAGGTGCCGATTTAACATTTCTCCCACCTACAGTAGTGCCGTCAGTAGGCTACCAGCTGACTCCAAACACAAAGCTTTCCGCTTCGGCTCATCTGTGGGTGTTAAAGAAATCCTTACATGGTCTTACAAAGTATTAATATGACTGGAATCCAGTGTAATCCAATTAAAATGAAATCCAGCTCTCATTTTGCAGTGCGTGATGACACATCTGTCTCCGCCGTATCTGACTTTTTAGATTAACCCAGAGCAGGATTAGTATGTACCTGCTTTGTGAAACCCAGTAGGACTTGTCTGCTTTCAATGAATCTGCTTAAGTCTTTATTACACCGCTGGTTGGTCTTCATTCAGTCGAGAGTTACTACGAATTACTCTGACTTTGGTTTCTCGGAATGTGCAAGTAAAAAAAGGACAAACAAACTTGTAAAAAATGTATTATTTAATATATTTAAAGTTATATTGTTTAGGATTTCACATGTGTTAATGCTGTGAACTTCTTAGTGCTGCAAGTCCCAGGGTTCAGTTTGTTTGTGCATGTGTCATTTCCTGTGAACACTATTTGAATTCAGCACTGGGACGGCGGACTCCGCCACTGACGATGCAAATTACGTTGTATAAAGTCGTAAATGCCATCAAATATTGGGTTTGATGTGATGAAACATAGGAAGTAACAACTACCGCAAAAAATACTGTACATGTTTCTAATGTACACGGTGTATGCTTTAGGAGGTTTCCAATCATATCGTGTCTTTGCTGTCCTCTAGAGTCCCGACTTTTGCATCGCACACGAGGACTTCTTGCGTCTGGTCCTGCCCTCTCTTGATGACCGGGACGCCGTTCTTCTCATCTACACGCACTCGGGTGAGACATTTTAATTTTTTTCCATGTTTGGACTCCATATCACATCGACGCCGCGTGTCCTGACGGTGTCTCAGCACAGGCAACGTCGGCGAAGTGGCGGAGCTGGCGAGCACAGTGAGAGAAAAGACGTCCAACCTCCACGCCGTTTATCATCGGGTTGATGGAGACACTGCAGCTGCTGAACAACAAGTAGCTGTCAGTCTGTCTGTCTGTCTGTCCATCCATGAATCTAGTAAAGTCTACTTTTTTATTTTGCAGGATGACATCAACAAGCTGTGTTTATCTTCACTAATATTCACTTGGCCGTCACCTGCTTCAGGGATCTCACTGCACATGGTACAGCAGCAAAGACACACACACACACACACACACACACACACACACACACACACACACACACCCACGCACACACCCACACACACACGGACACACATTGACTCAGTGACTCATTGGAGCACGATAAATAACAGTTCTGCCTCATTTACTCTCTTTTTCTCTGTCTCCCACCCTCCTCCAGCAGAGCTGTAAAACTAATTTACTCTTCATCGATTTTCAGTTTTTCTTATTTCTTGTGTTCTTAAAATCTTATTTTTAGATGACAGTTATTTTATTTTTTTCCACTGTTGCCTTTGAGTCAAGCTTTCGTAAATGTAGAGAAAAATCAATCCCGGCTCCTCTCTCTCTCAGCAGTGGGAGCTGTCCACGAAGCTGCTGCTGAACGCCGTGAGCACCGGCGCTCACGTCCTGAAGGGGAAGATCTACCAGAACCACATGGTGGACCTGCAGGTCACCAACAGCAAACTCTACCGCAGAGCCACACGTTTACTGCAGGTATGTAAAAATGCACCTTTAACGTGAAATAAACTGGATGTTGAACCGACTACTCCACCAAAAACAATGCAGCCCAGATACCAACCAGTTCTCCTGAACTGTGATACTACCTGACCCGAGCTTTTCTGGTAGTTCATCGATGCGATGAAACACAGATTTATAATTCTTCGTTTTCTTTGGACAAATATGTTATCGAATTTTTCAGCATAATATAACATTATAAAAACATACACTATACATTGAACATAAAGGCACACCTAAACAAAACACATAAAGGCACTTTGAATATAATGGGAATAATGTTATTACACTATGGTGGAGAAAAAGAAACGATCTGATGCTTAATAATAATAAAACCGTTCCAAAGCCAAAAATATGAAAATGAAAATTTCAAAAGAAAGCCATAGTAATACTACCCCCTCCAGACATTTAATGAATGAGCCCCATATCTTATCTTTTTCTATATATGTAAGTTTGTGCATAGCCAGACAATGCAGCAATCCATCAACTTTGGTTGCTTGGTCTAGTCATGGGTTTCCATGGAAACAGCGTTATATTGTGCTCACATGGTGTACTTTCTTAAATAAACTGAAATAATTCAGGTTTTAGAACTAGATTTTGACACAGGGGTCCCTCCAAGATTATGTAACAATGCAGGACATATTGTACGTTAGTGGTGCAACTTCCCAACACATTTGCAAGAAAATCATCAGTAGATTGACAGTGAACGCTGAAAGTCTCCTTCTGCTTCCAGAAGCTGTCCGGTGGTCCGGAGTCCCGGTGTGAGGAGACTCTCCTGAAGACCGTCTACCGGGTGGACGAGCTGACGGCGGACATCACGTCCTCCGACGTCAGCGCACATGCGCGCGCTGCCAGAAGCGGCACCAAGGTGAGGAGGCAGAGCGGTGCATAAAGAGGAACGTATGGATTGGAGGCTTGTCTCCTGTTACATCTTCTCTGTGTGTAGGCGGTCCCTCTGGCTTTGGTCTGTTTGCTGACGGGTCGATCTCTCCAGGAGGCGGGGACTAATTTGGAGCAACAGCCAATCGTGAGGGAGGCCGTGGAGGCGTGCCTGTCATAATTGACATGGCGGGTTGTCATCTACCCACACAGTCATGTAATCAACCCTCTATATCCCCTCCACGGAGAGGTCATAGGTCAGCAGATTAACTGATTTCTACCACATTTAGTGTAATTACAACAATCGAGTCAAAGGTCATCCATTATTGGTTATTGCTTTGATTATTATAAGTCAAAAACTACGCTGTTTGTGAGAAAGAGTTTGAATTTTGGCACCTGTGGACGGCCTTAAATACAACACCGTGTTTTAACACTGGAGGGCAGACTTGACACCTCAACAGAAGCATAATAACCTGAAAATGTACTAGTAGACACTGTTTTTATAAAAGTAGCTTCACATACGTAGGTACAAGATGTTAGAATGAGAAGTGTGTGCAATAAAATCAGGAAAATGTCAGAATAAAAATTCAATCTGATGCACTTTTTCCCACGATTGGCATAATTACCGCACAACTGAATTATGTTAAAATGTCTATAACTGACATTTTAACCCCCCCGTGTGCTGTAACAGTATTCTGCAGGTACAGGCTCTACCATATCGGTCCATGTGATGTAAATTAGCCTCAATCCCTTTGTGGCTCACAGGTACTGGATTAGCCTGACGCCTGTGTATCTTGAGAGCAGTTGAGCAGCTTTGGAAACCTTTGGAGCGGAGCCAAGCGCAGTGGGGTGGGGGGGGGGGGGTGTTTCGCACACCACCACGCCGGGTTAGGAACACGAGAATCTTCCTTTCCTGTGCACTTATTTATTCACATCAACATGATTACATTCATTTGCTAGAGGTACACGATGTTCACTTGGTGACGTCACAGACTGATAAGCAGCATAGGCGCACACACTCACACCCTTGGTACCACATACAGGAGGAGCCTGGAGCTCAGCTCATTTAGCGGGTTAAAAGTATATATTTCCATCGTTCTTAATGAGCAGATTTGATCCATTCCAGCCAATTTAACAACCTCTGTGATTCTGCAGGAGAGCCACTAACAGAGAGAGAGAGGGGAAACAATCTTCAAGATCTCCCCCTCTGTTTCCATCGATCTACCGCCATGTAACCATGGATACAGTAAGGCATCAGCGTCACGCTGTCGTTCCGCACTGCTGGTCATGCAAACGCACACCTCTTACATTTAAACAGCAGAGGAGAGTTTAACCTGAATTTCCGAACGCTCGCCTCAGAGATGCTTCGTTTTGGAAGTTTTGTAACTGCAAACCCGGGAATAAAAATCCCGGCCAATTATCGGACGACATAAGTTAATGAGGTATAATTGCTGAATTTACATCGTACAATAAAGCTACTAAAATACAATTTGCGATTTAGAAATAAATATTTTTTTTCTGTCAATTTTGGAGTGTTAAGTGATCCAAAAGTAACTTTAAAGTATAGATCAAGCACCAGGCTAGCTGTTTCCCCCCTTTTCCAGTCTTCGTGCTAAGCTAAGCTAACCGTCTCCTGGCTTTAGATTCATACTTAGCGCCTAGACCCTAGAGTGGTATCGATCCTCTCGGCCTCGCTCTTGGCAAAAAAGCAAACACTTCCCAAAAAATGTCAAACTATTCCTCCCAGGTAATCAGGTTACGTCACAGAGCTTTAGGCGATTTAAAACAGCGGGCTTCTTTACGGACAACAGATTTAAGTGGGTAGTTAAGTAACAGCGAGGAGATGACCTTACAAACCCCAGAGAATGAAACAAGAAAATACACAAAGAATTGAACTGATAGTATCAATACACTGGTTCTGTTAAATACTACAGAAACAGGCAATTAACATCTAACATATCTCCGAGGTACTTGGTAAATTCATAGCTCTATGATTCAATATATCAATACACCTGTGGTCCACTGAGTTCACATAATCCACCCATAGGTGTCAAAAATGGTATTTTTTTGTTTCAAAAATATACCTTATTTATACACATACAATACAGAAATAGACATATCCCTTCGTACGTACAATTCACTTAAAAATATATATAATTAAATAGGATAAGGTGGTCGTTTCAAGATTCTACGCCCGATCCGGAGTGATAAAGTGCTTCGAGTGTTTCGAGTTTGTGGTTGCAGTTTGTGAACCTACATAGTTCTACCCGCGTGGTCGCTGACAAGGGTTTATGGGAGTCTGAGTCAAAAGTCATCCAGTTCGCTGTCGGTCTCTTTGGGTTTGCGGCATTTGACCCTGCCCGGCGAGCGGCTTCTCCTCTGACCCGTGCCGCCGCTAGCCGATCCACCGCCAGCCATTTTGGGCACTTCTATGGAGATGACAGGGTGATGGTGCGCGTCTGTGTCGACGTCCTCCAGGGAGCCGGACTGGGACTCCATAGAGGTCCTGGTGTACTGATGGAGGAGAGCGACATCCACCCTTTTGTTCACCTCTCCGTCCCCTTCCTCCTCAGTCTGGAACTCTTCGACAGCATCTTCCTCTCCCGTGGCTCTGGCCCCCTCGGGTCCCGAATCATCGGCACTGGTGTCGCTCGGACGTTTGCCGTCGGTGTCTGAGTCTTCTGCGTCGGCCTCCTCTCCCTCGGTCGCCGTCACGCCCTGGCCCTGAGGGTGCAACAAGATAACAGTAAATCTGAACCGTTGTTATAGACTAAATTGGGTACAACTGGGATGCTAAGTGATTATAGCTACATGTTGGTTACATAGTCTAAGCGTGGACGGATTATGAGACAACAGGCCCCTGGGCACAGACATGCAAAAGACCATAGCCTCTTTTTGTTGGTGTTTTGTGTCTATTTGTTGTCATTTGTGTCTCTTTGTAGTACTTTTGTGTCTCTTTGTGGTCTTTCTGTGGCTCTTTGATGTAATTTTTGTTTCTTTTTTCGGTTGTTTTGTCTCCGAGGTCGTTTGTGTGTGTTTTGGTCGTTTTGTCGTCACTTTGTGTCTCTTTGTAGATGTTTTGTATCTCTTTGTAGTCATTTGTGTTTCTATGAAGTTGTTTTATCTTTTTTTGTGGTCATTCTGCATCTCTTCGTGCCGGTGTCTCTTCGAGTGACATTTTGCAAGTCAAGGCCAGGGGGCCCCTGGGCCTGTGCCCAGTTGGCCTATTCAGTAATCCACCCATGAGCAAAAGTAATGGTTGGTATTAAAATTGGTGTCACTCAAGTCAGTGAAAATAGGCTGCACTAACAGAGTCAATGAGGGTTTTTTAGGAAACTGATTGCGACTAACAACAACAGCAGACGTCCATCAGTAGAAGCGTTGTGTTTGCTGCCTAACAAAACAGATTTGTTCGGTCCGTCTAATTGGATAGCGAGATTATCTTTTCCCACAGGCTTAGAATTAGCGGTCGGCTGCAGTAGGTCAGATTCCTCTTTAAAGGTGCAATAGACTTTAACCCATCGGTCATGTTCAGGCACTCAGCGGTGTTTAAATATAGGTTGTGCTCAAATTGGTATTCGAAACTAGGACGTCCGTTCATTCTTGTTCGGGAACAGTCACTTATGTCATCCGATCGACTTAACACAAAATAGTTGTTGCATCCTAAATATTTTAGCCACATAAAAGAAGATAAATAAATGTCATTCAATTATGTTGAGTCTGTACCTTTCTAGATATAGTCTAATTAGAATTTTCATTGGTTTATGGCTGGATAATATAAATATAAAATGTTGTATTTAATATCAATATAAAATATGAATATGATCACATCTGTGTTGTATTATCAATCATTCATTATCTATACGTCATATACAAAAGCTTAACAGATATAGAATTTTTTCTCAAAATGTCCTTATATCCGCTTAAAACTACATTATTATGTTAAACGATTTATTAAGTTTTTGTGTTGCTTATAAACTTTGTTTGTGCTAAACTACGGCAAGTACATACGGTCAAAGTTGAGCCAGATGGTCATTTGTTTCATCCTACCTTTGATGAGGCTCTTTCCTCCTCTGATGCCTCCCCTCCCTGCTCTTCACTCTCTCCTCCCTTTTCGTCTCCATGTGACTCCCCCTCTTCAGCACCTTCATCCCCGTCATCTTCATCGTCTGCTGAGGCGCTGATGTTTCCCTCTCCGAACTCCTCCACCAGCGTGGATTCTTCTTTTTTTGCAGCGTTGTCATCCTCCGTTTCCCCAGATGCCTCTTCTCCTCCGCTTTCCCTGCCTGTCGTTTCTTCTTCTTCCTCCTTAAATTCAGACACCTCTTCCTCCTCACCCTCCTCACCCTCGACATTTTCAGTGGTCTCTCCTTTTCCTGCTGCTGCCTCTTTTACCGTCTCCTTGTCACTCTCCTCTTCCTCTTCCCCTGTTCCTGTCTCCCCCTCTTCCTCCCCTGTCTCGTCCTCACCTGTGTTGTCGTTAGTTTCCTCAGCATCTTCTCCTTCTGCTGTTTCCTCCTCTCCCTCTTCATTTCTAGCAGACTGGCACTTGCATTCTGCCTCCTCCTCTTCCTCACCATTTTCTGATGACTCCTCCTCCCCTGCTTCCTCACCACCTGTTTCTTCCTGCTCCTCATCACCTGCACTACTTTCCTCCTTTTCAGCTTCTACCTCCTCCCCTTCTCCTGCCTCAACCCCATCCTCTTCTTTGCCCATTTCCTCATCTTCCTCCGGGATCGTCTCCTCTAAAACAACATGAGCTTTGATATCCTCTTTTGTTTCATCCTCCTCTTCCTCCTCCTCCTCTACCTCTTGCAGTACCTCTAAACTCCTCACCTCCTCGTCTGTGACCTCACCATCACCTCCCGCCGCCGCAGATTCTGCGGGCACAGCTGCAGGGCTTTTCTTCAGCTGCAGTATCTTAAGGAGGTCAAACTCCATCATCACAGGTGCTTCGGCCGCCAGCGGGTTCGCTCTGAGTGGCCGGGCGTCCATTTTCTTGCGAACACAAGCATCACAGGGGCAGTACTCGTCGTCGCTCCGCTGGTCGCTGCACTCACCCGTCGTCTCTCCGTCGCTCAAGGACTCAGCAGTTTTCAATGACTGGTTCTTCATGACCTGAAAGAGAAATCAAACGTTATCTTTCCGCCAGCAGTATTTGTAAAGAGGATTTGGTGGAATTACCTTCAATATCCGACGCCTCTTCTCCATCATGGTCGACTCCCTGGAGAGGTTCCCTTTTTGCGGCGGCCGGGGCAATCTCCCCCCTCTGCCGGCACGACTGTGAATCTTCCTCACCTCGCACTCGACGCTGCTCTGGATGCGTCGGCTCACCTCGTCCCTCAGCTCGCCGATCATGGTGTCCAGGATGAGGCTGTCGTCCAGGTCCCAGCGGACTTTGAACTCTGCCATGGCGGTGATGTAGTGGTTCATGAACTGTTTCTCCAGTTTCTTCAGGAGGTGCAGGACCCACACTGGATCGGGGTCTTGGGATTGTCTTTTTGACAAGGGTGCTCGCAGGACGGTTGGGGGCGTGGCCGAGCTGCAGTCATCTCGTTCATTATCGGTGGGGGATTTGGAGCCGCCGTTAGCAGAGCTCTTGTCCCACGACGAAGGATTCTCGGTGGCTTTTGGGCTGTCCAGACTTGGAAGGACTGAACTTTGTTCGTCACTTTGTGCCGGTTCCTCTACTACGTCTGTCTCCTCTATGACAACCTTCTCCACTCCCCTATCCTCATGTAAAGAGGCCTCTTTTGTTTTGCTTGGTTGGTTTCCATTCTCCTTCCCTGATCCGCCCGAGCCACTGCTCATTCCCAACCCGGATGAGGACCTCGGCGGAGACACCTGCTCTGTGCCAACGTCCTTGGCCTGCTCTGTCTCAGGGTTCCTGGGTTCAGTGAGCCAGAGGGACTGAAGGATGGTCATAATATCCTCATAGTGCTGGTCCTTCTGTGGGTCAAAGCCAGGGCTCAATGTTGGCTCAATGAGCTGGAGCTGGGCCAAACAGTCCAAGAGACCCCTGGCTGATGTGCTCAGTCTACGCCCATAAACTGGAGACACCTACAGAAGACGGCAGAGAATTTGTTACATACAGAACATCTTAGTAAATTAGGTATCCTTTAAATTAAAGATTATTATTTAAATGTGGATATATTTCTGTTATGAATGTTTTCTGTTGTAGAAAAGTGTAAAAATTAAACTCAATCAGTCGATCGTTGAAAAAATTTGAATTGCTTAACAGACAAAAATGTCAAAAAGTCTTTAATCCAGTTTTTCAATTTAGAAGATTGGGTGCTTTTCTCTCATCAATATGATTATAATTTAAAATAATAATAATAATTATGTAATTTGAGAAAACACATTTCGGTTAATTGATAAAATACATTAAAGATATTGTAAATAAATAGCTGTTAGATGCAGCCTACATAGTTTCATCCTACAGATTAGATTATAATCCATTGACATACTCATTAATTTACCTCTGGCATGCTCTGACAACGACCCAGAGAGCACCTCAGGAGAACTTTCATCACTGCGGCTGAGGAACGCATGCTCCTGGGCAGAGAGTCATCGCTCAACAACAGGGTTTTGGGGCGAGAAGACGCCTCCACTGGATCACCTGGAGCTGGATCTGAACTCTGCTCCTCCTCTGTTGCATCGCATCCGGCTCCCTCCTCTCTCTCTCCTCCCTCTTCGGCCTCCACTTTCTCCTGTTCCTCAACTTTACCGAGACCCTCTTCCTCCTTTACTTCCTCCTCTGCGAGTTTTTCTTCCGCCACCTCCTCGTTCAGCTCATCACCAAGCACCAGCATGCTGCTGTTTGCGGGAATGCTCCGCAGCCAGTCGCTGACAACCTCATTGGGGGAAGCGTTGGGCAGACAGGCAGGTAAAAGCTCCAGCTCCTCCTGATCCGTCCGGCTCCTGCTCCTCTCACACCTTTTAGTCGTGGGCTTCGCACTGGTTTTACTGGCCTTTGATTGTCGGCTGTGTGGCCGTGCAGCAGTCATGGTTTCCTTCAGCGTGTCAGCGGCGGACAGAGAGTGAGAAAGGGTGCTCTCACTATGTGTGTCCACTTTGCTGCCTGGTCTGGGACTGTGGATAGGACAGGGGCTCAAGGATTTGATTTCTTTCTTTTGAGAACTGGACATTTTGACACTGCCACTGGATTTGGCCTTGTGATCTTTGACTGAATCCTTTCCTTTGCTCTCCTCTGAGGCTTTTATTGTTGACCCTGATTGAACGGAGTGGACACTAGCTGCCTTGTTGTCTGCAGTATCCTCTTTCCCGTTGGCCTTACTAGCTGGTCTACTGATGGCCTGATTTTCAGCGTCATTGTCTCCGTCACCATTGCTAATCGATGAAACAGACTTCACACTTCCTGTTTCTAGGTCATTTCCTGCTTCAGTTTGAGCTGCTGCTTTGACACCACAGTTACAAGACGACTTGTGGGACCTGCTGCTTTTGGCTGAAAATGCACTGGCTCCTCTTTCTGTTGTTTGCCCTCCACCTTCTTCACCTTTGTGCTGACTCCCTCCTGGTGTTTCGATAGTCGGGATATCGACTGCTGGGTGATTGTGAGTGGTTTTACTGCCGGACTTTTGAGACACGATGGACCCTGTTCCCTCCCTTTCTTCCTTCGTAGAAGTCTGCTCTGTGCTTTTGGGGACATGAGGAGTTGCTGTCTTCACTCTGCTCTTTCTCTCAGCGTTTGTGTGAAAAGAAACACTGGACTTACCGCTGTCTGAGTCAGCTGTGTCTTGGTCTTCTGGCAACCCAAGAGATACTGACCCTGAAGAGTTTCGAGTCAGCGGTTGCTCGGTGCCTCCTGATTCTCTTCTCGACCTTTTGGTTGAGGACGACAGGATGCTGGCAGCCCGATCAGAATCCGCCTCATTTTCCAGCTCCTCATTATCTTGCTTTTCCTTCTCCTCCTTTTCATCCTTTGCTGAAGCTGCCCCACAGCTGCATTTGGATTTGACGGACTTTGCAGAGGTTGTGGAGAGAACCGACAAGGCACTGGGCCCTCTTGTCTCTCCAACACTGGAGCCAGGCAACAACTGTTGCACCGGGGATGCAGCTTTGTGTGAGCGGGTCCGCGATGGACATGTACTCCTGGGTGAGAGCATTTGGCCCTGAGATTTACTTCTTGGTGCATTGTCTTCCACAACATTTTCATCTGCTGTTTCAACATCAATCGCAGCTGTTCCGTTGCGATTGGATTTATGAGATGAAGTCGAAACGTTAGATTTAACTGATGCAGCGCTCTGTGCTCTCTCTGTTGTCTCATTTCCTTCCTCATCAACCCCCTCTGGTGATTTAATGGTGACATTTCGATTCGGCAACACCGGTTTTAGGTTCTTGCTGGACTTGTGAGAAGTACGGGACCTCACTGATGATTTTGACTTGACAGAGATGACACTGGGCACCCGGCCATTTTCATTTTGGTCCGCTTCTCCATTCGTCTCAGCAGAAGGAATATCAGCTTCATTTGGATTTGGAGATGCTGCGGTCCGGTTCGACTTCTGTGACTTGGATGACTTCGCAGAGGTGTGCGATTTCCCCGAAATGACGCTGGGGGTTCTGTCCTCATCTTTGGATGGAGAATTTGTTCGGCGAGACTTTGCAGAGGAGGCTGATTTAGCTGATATTACACTTTCAGAACTCTGCTGTTCATCTTCTTCCATCTCATTTTCCCTGGAGCTTGGAGATGCCGCCATTTCATCGTTGGACTTGCATGGCGTTGAAGAATTGACTGATCTGCCAGAAACTTGACTCGCTGCCCTTCCTTCTCCGTCTTCTCCAGTTTCAGACCTGGGAGAAAGGGACCTTTCCGGAGCTTTGGTGGAGTTATGGGATTTATTGGACTTGGCAGAAAGATTGGATCCGGCTGACATGGCACTCGCCGCTCGCTCTTCTGCCTCAATTCCTTCTTCCTGTCCAGTTGCTTCAGGTTCATCAGCTGGAGATACTGCTCTCGCACAGTGACTGCAAGTGGACCTGTGAGATGTGCCGGACTTTGCTGACACATTTGATTTAGCTGATTTAGCAGATAGGACGCTATCAGGTCTTTGCGCCGTGCCAGGCTTAACAGAAAGTGCACTGGGAGTTCTTTTGTTACTGTCATCCTCCTTCACAGCTGTATTGTCAGTTGGGGAGGCAAATTTAGTTCTTATCTTGACTGAAGCAATGGTCTTTGCCGAAGCACCAGATTTGGCTGACAAGGAGCTCCGTGCTCTCTCCACAGTGTTCTCTCCCTCTGCCTCCTCTCTTGTCTTTATGTCAACTGTTGCACTGCAGTTGGACTTGTGAGACCTGCTGGACTTGGCGGACATGTTGGACTGAGCCGACACAGCACTGGGGCTTCTCCCCTCCTCTTTTTCTGCTGCACCACTGCCTTTACAGCCAGACTTGTGTGATCTATTGGACCTGTGACTTGTAGCTGAGGTGGCACTAGGAGCCCTAACTTCCTCTTTTCCTGCCAACTCCGGATTGGACATTCTGGACGTTCTGGACATGGCACGAGCTGCGCTGCCCGTCAGGACGTTTGATGTTGCAGAGCAGCGGCCATTGCTGCTGAGGTTGGTCTTGTTAGATTGCGTTGACACAGCCGAACCTTCGGAGCCATCATCATCGCTGCCATCATTTGCATTCTCTTGGCTGGATAGAGGTGTTGAGAGCTTTGGAGAGGCTCGTTTGGAATGATGGGACTTCTGTGATGCTCTACTGTTAGATTTAGAGTTGACCCCGCGTTTGCATCCACCACAATCGAGACATACACTGGATGACCTTGACTGCAGAGAAAGTCCAGTGTGACCAGACAAGCCACTGACAACCCTGTTTACTTCTTCATCCTCATCATCTGTAGCCCCCTCTTCCTCTGAATTTGCGATCTTGGCCTTGCTGGACCTGCAAGAGGCTCTACTCGCTTTGGACTTAGAGCTGGGAGCTCGATCCATCTCCTCCGCTTCGGCTGTTAAATGCGGGTCGGCTGCTCCGCAGTGACTGGAAGAGGCCGCAGATACGGCTCTGCTTCCTGTCTCCTCATCGCCCTTCTTGTGTTCTGTAGCGTGGACAGAACTGGCCGAGATGTTGCTTGTTGGTTTGTCATTCAGGCGAGTCTGTGAGTTTGGGGAGGGAGATGGTTCGTTGCTATGACAGCACTGTGAGGCGCTGGGTGGCAGGTCATCATCCTGGTCCTCTTTCAGCGATTGAAGGACATGTGAGGAGCTACTGGTAACAGACGGGGCACGCCCTACCTCTTCCTCCATCATTAGCTCATCCTCTACTGACTTCCTGCTAACTACTTCACTTCGGCTGCAGCATCGGCTCACTCTGCACACCTCGATATGGGATTCTTCATCCTGCTCCACCTCCACTCTGCGCTCAACCTGCTCCGTCTCAAACATCTCCTCCTGCACCAGTCGGCTCTGCTCCGAACCTCCTCCGCGGTTGGAAACCCGTGCTCGACAGCGCACCACCCTCCTGGAATTACACGATGAGGAAGAGCTAGAAGAGTGTGTGTGTCGAATCACAGTGCGGGTGTGGCAGGATGCATGCGGGGGAGGGACAGGAGGCTTTCTGTGGCTGTGTGCTGGGTTTTCCCACAAGTCGTACTGCTGTTCCGGCCTCTGATAGCAGCAGGGACAGTTGTTCCCCTCCAACACACATTGCGGAGGTTGGTTGGAATAGTCCACACCTTCAGGGTTGAAGGATGCGGAATCAGGGTCAGAGCAGCTCTCTGATTGGCCCTGCTGCAGGTAATGGGACTGGGTCTGGCTCAGGGGGCAGCATTCATTAGTCAGAGATGGGGATTTTTTTACTTGTGTAGACCACCGGAGGGTCTCGTCATTGTGTAGGCGAAAACGCACCCTCATCTCTACTGAGAGGCTGCCGTCTTTATTGACCAGGACCCGCTTTTCAATGTCGTCGTTCATAATAGCCGGTCTGGAGTGGGAGTATGCGCCGACACCATTGCCATACGACTTCTCTGAAGACAAGGAAAAACGGGTTGAGCGGTTTGAGGAATCCGAACGAGGGTGGATGATGCTTTTTTTGGTTTCCAGACCAAAGTTTACTGAATGGAGAGAGAGAGAAAAGGGAATATAAATGCACTCTTTTATCTACTTTAGATTTCTTGTTGAAATTGAAGTTTGTGTTTTGGGTATTTGTCCAAACAAACTTACCATTCTTCCTGCTTTCAGGCCCTTCACTGTTATCGCTGGCTCTGGACTGAGCTCCATGAGGTGGCGATCTCGCTCCTTGAGCAGCAGGAGATCGGGCTCCGTTACCAGGAGTCCTGGGGCCTAGACAGGGAGACCTGCTGCCCAGACCGGGCAGTTTTTCCTCTGAGCTCTTCCTGATAAAGTTCACCAGCACTGGGCTGAAGGCTTCCCGGCCGACACACACCAACACACCAGGACAAGTCATGAGGCTTTGCACGCTGTCAATCTGGAAACAAATTCACACAGTGTCAGTTTTCCACTAAAATGGGTGTAATCTGCAAAACAAAGCACTCTAAATCATGACCATACATTAAAAAACAATTTGTACCTTGCGTCCCTCAGCAGTGTAGAGCTTGCAGACATGAAACTGCATCACCTCGGACACCTCATCCAGAAAGGCCCTCAGGCTCCTGGTGGACCTCCTGCTGAGCACCAGGCTCCTCCTCATGCCCGGCTCGCTGTTCTTCACCAGCAGGATCCGTCGCTGCCTGTGAGAGGAATGGCTGGGCGGCGTCGCGGACGAGGTCTCGGGCCGCTGGGGCCTCCGGCTGTGATGGTACCAGATGCTCGGACGCTTGCCGGCCAGCTCCATGTTGACTGGCTTAGCCTGGCGCTGGTCAGAGCAGAGGTAGCAGCCGCCGTCCTGGAGCTGCTCCAGGTGTTTGATGGCATGGGTGCCGCGGGGAGTGGTCACGGTTCGCACGCCAAATGGCAGGGGCACCTGTATGTGGATACACACATGTATATAGGGTACATATCTGTATCTATCTATGCTTTAATGTAGGAAAAAACACTTTTTTCTCATTCCGTCTGTCTGAAACACTCCGTTTTATCGCCTGTCCCTTTAAGCCCCCCTCCCGAAAAAGGCCGGGCTGATGGAAATATCACTTTCTTTTCTATCACTTTTTTTTAAAGTGCAGTACAGGTGCATCCACTCAGTCAGCTTCAAAAGAAATCTCTTGTCCCACTAACCTTTTGGGAAAGGTCGTCCAGCAGGGCGTCGAAGCATTTGAAGCTGCGCTTGTGGATGGCCATCCTGACGCCCCCGAACTGGCTGTCGCCGCTTTTGTAGAAGGTGATCCGCTTGGCAGGGCTGGCTGTGGTCACATGGGCGGGAGGCCGCGGGGGGAGGGGCGAGGCATGTTTAGACGGGGGCTGGGGGTCCCACATCTCTGCGTGGACCGAATGCATGCTGCGATCTCACGCACACCTGAGGGACACACACAGAATGCGAAGTCGTCGAGGCATCTAATGAAACGTTACTACGAAAGTTCTCAAAATTAATTTCCAATTGAAGTGTCGCAGTGACTTTTGTTTTGCTGTTCCCACGCTTTCTAATCACACTCACAAGATCGGAACTAATTAGGGTGTTTGACTGAGGATTCAGGGCAGCAGATCCACTAACAGGACTACCTGGTATATAAGGGTGTTACATATGTCATTTGGCGACAGCAGAGGAAGCATTTTGTACAAAGTCGTCCAAATCAAACGAGTAAGCTGCCAGGTAAACCTACAAGCGTTGTTTTGCTGCAGTATTTCCCCCATTTAATAACTGAAGTGCTGAAAAATTGCCAGATTCCTTTAAGATTCCCACACATTGTCATTCCATCTAATGCATTTGGGACAAAAGACAGATGGATTGGCATCAATTTTCGAAAGTATAGTCACATGACGTAATATCAAATGCAGCAACCTGCTCATCTATATACAGTACATGTTAAAGACAGAGCTTCCCTCAGCCTGCTATATTTAGTGGAGCGGCCTAGGACACGTCCAGAAATCCTATTTGGAACGGACGTAGAAACTTTCTGTCCAGCTTCTCAGCAGCTTGCATAATGTCCAGTACGTACGTTTCATGAGACTGCAGCTCAGAGTGACAGCGCGCTTCCTTTACTCAATAGAACGATAATGATGTTAATCATGACTGTGATGACTTTCTATCACCTATGAAAAAAGTCATAGGTGAAGTCAGCCGGCTTAGCAAGGCTTTAAAGTCCCATGAGGCTGGACTGCAGGCCAGGTCACTGCTCTTAGCTGAAGACACGCAACGTGACACTGTGCTTCTTAATCCCTCCTCAGCTCCGTGTCTAATAACAACTTTATACATAACACACCACAAGTCAGGCTGCAAATCATCGGTGTGACGCTGATCAAATCATTTCCAACCAACAAAACAGTGATAAAGTCCATAAAGGCCTGTACTTATGCACAGGTTTTAATTTAGTTTCCCTGCTGAGGCTTACCTCAAAACATATAGAAGTCTCAATAGCTAGTCAATAGATAATCACATTGAATTGCAGTATTAGTAGCCCAGTTAACTTCTTCTTGACACTTATTAAAGTGTACGAGACAATAAAAGACACAAAACACCCTTGACAGCACATTGATAAGACATTTTAACAAGACACTCGCCCTTTGAGCACAATAGAGACAAGTTGGGGAACATTTTAAGATAACAAGAACCACTTTTACTACCATATATCAACCCATTTTTGCCACATATATATTCAGTATATATTACTTGACCACTAAGCCATTGTAACTTTAAAGTCAACTAAACAGCCTTTTTTTTTTACCACTATTCCCCATTTTAAGACATTTGAATCGCTACATAAAAACTTAACAACTCCTACCAGTAATTTGACAACAACTCATAAACTTAACACTTTATCTATTAGGTGCACCACTCACATATTCAGGAAACATGGTCCAAAGAGATGAGAACAAGCTGGAGGGGAATCTGTCCGTGCCGGGTCTGACCGGTCAAGTCCAAACTAACTGTTTGAGTGTGTGTGTGTGTGTGTGTGTGTGTGTGTGTGTGTGTGGCTACCCGTGACGCTTGAGTCACAGATGTAAAGCAGAGCCCCCGTCTCCACGGCTCTCGGGGCAAAATGGCCGTCTAATCAGGTGCACAAAGGGGGGAGGGAGGAGAAATGAGGAGGAGAGGCTAAGGATAGAATGAAAAGCCTGCTTAAGAGCCTGTGTGTGTGTGTGTGTGTGTGTGTGTGTGTGAGGAGGGGGGGTTGCTATGGTGAGGCCAAGACAAAGTGACGTTCTTATGCACGGCCCCACACCTGACCCGAAGAGGAGGCACATGCTAATTTGCAACGTTCTTATTTAAATTCATCACCGAGTGAGATGAGAGGGTGGAAAATGTTACCGTAGACAAATATCTGTTTGTACAGTCTGTATGTGAGTTAACGTGTAATCAGAGATATTACACTGTCAGCTTCTTTATCTTCTTCTCTCTCACACACACAAACACACACACACACACACATGGCTGTAGTCGGAGAGGATTGTAATCAAAAGACAGTCTGTCTGACTGGGGGGCGGGGCTCCTGTTTAGAAATCACTGACAATACCAACTGCTCATTACTGGAGGAGTGGTCTACTTCATCTTTTCACTTCTGTTGTTTTTACATTTAGTTATCTTTGGGCCCCTGTTTTGGTTGTAAAGCTGGAATTACACAGATGTCGTGTAAAGCCCCTCAGGATTGCGCTTACCAATGGGAAGCTTCCCAAACTAGCTCGCACTTTAGCCGCTAAATGCTCCGCTGTGTTGTTCGCCGGCTGCCCAAAAACCGAAACGGTAAAGTTGCGGCCCGTAAAAACCAAAACAATGAGCTGAAAGATGCTAAAACTCTGATAATTATCTTTGGGTTCAACTCTACAAGGGACCCTTTTCACAAACAAGTAGTCACTTGATCCATTGTTAATAATAAAAATAAAAAAAATATATATATATATTCATTAGAGCAGCTTTAAGAACATGACTTGAACTGTGTCTGCAATAATGACCTCTGGTTTTGTCTCAGTAAGTAAATCTGGGCCTACAAAATAAAACTAAAAAAAAACCCTTTTCTCTTAAAAGCAACTAATTGTCGGACAATATAACAGGATCATTGTCACGAAAGTCTTTCAAACTTCAAATTTAATCAGGGCAAAGTCTCCTGCTGCTGTTCCGGGACACCGTGTTTTTAAAATCAAGTTTTAAAAAACAGTAACGAAAGAGGAAGATTCCCCAAAAAACAATCTACAATACAGTCCTTTTTTTTTTTTTTTTTTTACCCCTCCCCATTTACGAGATATAAACCTTACACAATTCCGACTCGTTGAGCTCCCCATTTGATGAACCTGTATCTGCTTCACAGCTCTGATGAGAGACAGAGTAGGTGGGCCTCTGAGACTTGTGGGTAGACAGGAAGTCGGGGATGAGTAGGTCCTGTGCTGACAGGAAGACTGTTGGTGCTAATGAGGATTCCTTGTGGATAAATCAAGGAGACGATGGAAACTAAAGCCCTCTCAGTCGCTGAGGTGTTATTGGGTCCATCAGCAGGACAAAGGAGGAAGAAAACAAGTGGGAGATTATTATTATGATGTGTGGCCTACTTTAGGAGGTCCACTCACTCCTCTTTGCACCTCCTCAATCCCTCTCTCATCCAATAAGCAGGTGTGTGTGACTCACCTCATACTCACAACTGGATCACAAACAAACAGACTGTGTGTATAAAGGCTACATAGCTACATGAATGCACTCACAACAGCAGATCTTTATCAGCCAAATATAAAAGAGTTAAGGTTTAAAAGAGTTTGAGGGGAAAATGAAAAGAGATCATTCTTACCTTTATGGACACATACCGATAGGAATGATGGGAGATCAACGTGCCGATGACACATCCAGAGGAAAACATTCACATGTAAGATGTTTAAAAGTCAGGTGGAGTAGCGAGCAGCACGGGGAACAGCCAGAGCAGCAGCCGCGCGTTTCAGTTCTCCCCGCAGATCGTCGATGTGAGGCGCACTTTGAGGCACGTGTCAAGTCAGCGGCTTACAGACCGGAAGTACACTGATTTGGACCTCCCAAATAAATGAGTCGCGCACACGCTTTATAGTTTTTAACGGAGACCTTATAGGCATATATGTTTAAAAACTGACATTTTTTAAAGCATTTGACTGATCGTTAACACCACTGCAAAGTCACATTGAGCAGCTCTCTTTCAAAATAAAAGGCTAAATACTGACACAACAGAAATAGGCTAGCGTAGTATTTACAAACTGTAAAATTCCCTGAAATTTCGCAGAGATTACGAACCCACACAGAAATTAATTTCCTTAAACTACAGACGAACACTCGTTTTATGTGAATAAAAATGACATTTACCTTTCTAATGTGATACGCAGTCATTTGTAAAAAGAAAGACAGCAAAATGCATCGGCCTCTTCAGCTGATACGACTTTTATTTTGAGATACGCGACCAGAAGTGGTGTGTTATTGAGACGGCTATCTTGACGTCATCTCAATCCGTTGTCTTTACGTTAGAAAACCAACTGTGCTCCGATTTATTTCTTCAAAAAAAAACGGAGGAGGGAGAGAGGGGGGGTGGGATTCACGTGAAAGAGGATTAGCTCGAGCCATCTGTAGCGGCCGACTGATAAACCGTGTTGCGTTCAAGAGCAGTTACTGACTCCGGTGTTTTTAAACAGACACTAACTAAAGAGCGGCGCTGTGTTAAACCAACCACTCCTTTTAGCTTTTAGCAGCCTTTTGTCAACTGTCAACCGAACCAGTCGCTATTAAACCTCGGAAACAACAGGTGTCACCTAAACTCTTTTACCAAACAGCTATGTGATTATATCATAGAGTGTTATGGGTAACGAGTTACTGAAATGTGATATTATACTTAATAATAATAGTAATATGACAGAAACCTGAAAATTAACCGTTTTGCAACAAAGTATCCGAACATTCCATCAGCTGCAACAAAGTATCCGAACATTATCAGCTGCCTCACGCAGTACGTGAGTGCGACGTAATCACGTAAGCGCACGCTCCACCCACGCGCCCGTCGTCTCCAATGGCAACTAAACGCGTATCGTCGCGTACCGAGGATGGATTCCCTTACTGAGAGTGAAATAGCGCAGATAGCGAGGCAGCAGGTAGGCGGATGTTGAATAAACACCGGGGTTTTTATTTTATCTAAGTTATCGAGCGTTAAACCATTACAAAGCACATGCTATTGCTAATTGTTTGCCCATTACCGGCCCCTAAAACTGTCAACTGTATTTCTTGGGGCACACTATTATGACGTCTCTTAGCTCAACAAACTATAAGCACAGAGAGGCCATTAACTATTTGCTGAGCTAATGTTTTAGCTATACTTTGTTTTTTATTGTGACATTCTGGGAATTAAATCATAAGATCATCAGTTAGATCCAGTACACTAAGTACATTTACTCAAATACTGTACTTCAGTATTTACATGTAATGCTACTCTATACCTCCCCTCCACAGATTCCAGATTCAAATATTATACCTCACTAGATGTACCTTGCAGATTAATATGCAGCACAATAATATGGCCACATGTAATCTGGTGTTTGTTTGAACTACATAACTGTATTAGTTGTATGAGATGGATCCCATTCAAGGAAACTGAAGTGTCCTGATAACTAAGTCAACTATAACCGTAAAAAGCTAGAACACTATATACACAAAGCATTAAAAACCCTTTACAGAAACCGTGCTGAATACAACACAAACCACCTAAATAGCATCTGTAATGATGCACTTGCGTCAACAGTGACTGTGTTCTTGTGTCCGTGACAGAGAGAGGCCGGCGTGCCAAGGCTCAGCCGCCACTTCTCGTGGCCCGAGTTCTGCGACGAGCGGCGGTGCTTCCACCAGGAGTTCGTGTACGACGCCGCCATGTTCGCCGCGGCCCGCGGCTTCCCCTGGCCCGCCGTGATCCAGGCGGCGGCGGTTGCCAAAGGCATCTTCCCACGGCTGGACGGTAAAGGACAAACGGCAGTGTGCTGTGCGGAGGAGGCCTTGAAGGGGCCACGGGTGCTTCACCTGGAGGTCATGATCAAGGGTCAAGTTAGAGTGACTCATCTCCAGTGTTTCACTCCCCGTGTGTTGTGTTAAAACATCATTCAAAGCCGCAAAGCACAATTCTGCATCTTATTTTGCTTTGCTTTGTTTTTAATAAAACCTCTTCTGGACTTCTACCCCTTCAGGTCCCGACGTACCCAGACTATCGTCCCTGCTGAGAGACGCGCTGTCCGAGTGTTTGCTAAACCTCACCCCCGTCCACAGGCACGAGTTCACCCGGTTCCTCGCGGGCGCCTGCGTCGCCCGGCGGAAGCTCTTCCAGGCGGCGGTGGGCGGCGCTGCCGAGACGTCCGTCTCTCAGCTCCACCTGGAGGTGCAGTTGCCGCCCACGCCGTGTCCCCTAGCGCAGGTAACGAAGCCTTTGCGACGACTGACTACACAGCTACCATTAACACATGTGTCTGATGTCCATGTGCTGCAGGGCACAGATCTGCATGAGCATCAAGATGAGCGCACGATGATGTAACAGAAGGTCAGGGGTCATTCCTGAGGGTGAACAGCAAGGACAAAGAGGTAAGACCCACAAAAAGATAAAAAAAGAGTCTGAACCGAGAAGCCTCCTACGCTCTGTGACATCCTGCAGCGGGCACCACCGGCCACAGGAAGGCTCCACAACCCCGCTCTTTCAAACAGGTCCTCACAATGCAGACGCACCAGCTGAGGTGAAGCCACACACGGCAGCAAAAGAAGACAGAGGAGGTCTGGCGATGCGGTGTGAGCAGCGGATCTCAGCGAGTAAAGCCAGTTGGAGGAAAACACAAATCTTAAAACTCATTTAATCTCTTGCTTGCGGGTGCTCGTGTTGTTGTGGTGCTTCTTGAAATTTCGGATGTACTTCATCGTCCAATAGGGAACCACATCTAATCACCTGTTTGTGGGCTGCTGTGCTGGACATTTTAAAAAACATTCATTGTCAGGTTGATTGTCAAATACAATGAGAATAGACTTGTGATTGGTTGCTGGTTTTATTCAAGTATTTATTTAACAAAAAAATTGTTTTGTTTTGACAGAAAAGGCTGTAAAGAATAGTATTATAAATAACAAACTTTGTTTCTTCACTACTTGACAGATCTAAGCCCTTAAAGTACAGCTGCGAAACTGAAGGTTTCCATTTCCCCAACCTCTTCCCATTTCAACATTCATAAATATTCAATGCAGAGGACGAAAGCAACAGTCATAATCATTTAAAACGGAAATCAAACATACGTAAATATTAAAAGCACCTACGGTAGTTCAAAAGTGAAGTGGCTGTCAGAAAGCCATCCTCGAACTCTGAACACTTATTTTTCATGCCAGGCAACTACGGTCCGAGCACCTTTAAACTAACCCTACAGAACAGTTTCCACTGCTTATGCTTGCAGTACGTATTGGGGAACGGCTGGGAGTGAAGCTCCTGCTCAAAGCCAGCTGGTTTTCAAGATGGCGGCTTTTAAGGCAAGCAAAGTTATCTGCATACTCGCAGATACATAAATACATAGATACATAGAGTACATTCACAGAGAGGACTCGACTCTCTTTAACAGTTCAGTAACTTGGCGATCGTACCCAGCATGCATCTTGCATCAGGTTGGTTTCACATAAAAGATGGATGGATGGATGGATGGGCAAGAACAGAGAGATGAGCTGGACGGACGACAACTCTGGAATGGTTTTATGTCTCTGGTATGGCGGGTCGTATCTTGAATAATCTAAATCCTAATCCCCCTGTCTAAATATGTTTTATTAATTTAACTGTTTAAAGTGTGATAGTGAGGGCTAGACGTCCTCTTAAATAAAGCTTTTTTAAAAAAAAAATTTTTAAATTTAAAATAGGGTTGCAATCAAATCTACGCGAGGCTCAGTAGGCTTGTGCTAGCTGGTTCCCCGTGCTGATGTGAGTCAGCATGGTCCGCACCAACTCTGAGAGGTCGTACCCGTGCTTCCAGCCCCAGTCCCGCCGCGCCGCCCCGTCCTCCAACGCCATTGGCCAGCCGTCCGCTGAAAAGACACGGAGACAATGGAAGGGATTTAAACTCTGGTAGCAGTCGTGGCGGTAAAGTGGAGACATCTTTAGACCCGGCGGTGTCACCTATGGCCTGCAGGACCGGGTCCACGTTGTAGGTGATCTTGAGGACGGGCAGGGCTTTCTGTAGCTCCCGGACGAGGTCGTGCGGTGTGAAGCTCGTGGCGTTGATGTTGTAGGTGCGGCTGAGCAGTGACTCAGCGGGAGCCTCCAGGAACTCCAGAGTCGCCCTGAGACAGTCGTCTGGACGGGAAGACGGGAGGAAGACAAGAGATGAAGGACAAAGAGGTGGATCACAGTATGACTATCGTTCAAAAACAAGTCCGGCATTACCGATGTACATCATAGGAAGCCGCGTGTCACTGCGCAGGTTGCACTCAAAGCAACCCGTCTTCACAGCTGCGTGGAAGATCTGGACCGCGTAGTCTGGGTGATGGAAAAAAAACCAGATCAAGATTAAGACCAAACAACATCAGAGCGCAGTATATCTCTTCTGTTTAATTCGTACAAACTACTACCAACTACAACGGCTCGCTCCTCCCTCTTCATCCTCGGGTAGGTCACACCTTAAACACTTTCCCCCCCCTTTCGACCTGCTCACCTGTGGTTCCTCCTCCAGGCTGGGAGTCGGCTGAGATGATGCCTGGATACCTGAGACAGCGGAAATCCAGCCCATACCTGTGGTGGTAGTACTGACAAAGAGGCGTACGCAAAGCTTTAAGAAAAAACAAAACACTTTGTGGTAAAATGCATGAAGGTGTTTAAAAACCGCGTGTCCGTGCCGTCGCGTCTCACCTCGCCCATCAGCTCGGCGTGGACCTTGGACACGCCGTAGATGGTGCGCGGCCTCTGCACACACAGCTCGGGCGCAGGGTCCCGGGGCGAGGACGGACCGAAGGCACCGATCGTGCTGGGGACAAACAGACGCAGACCATGTTCGGTTGCTATGTCTAATATGTTATGGAGACCTATAAAGAGAGAGAGGCTGCGCATAAGTGTCTGCGTTAGGGTGGCTCTAATCGCTGCTGCGAACGTGCCTTCAGGATCCGCAATAGAGCAGCTTACCTTTGGTAGTTTCGGCGAGTGCGCGCACGTACCTGTGATGTTAACCTCTTTGGCCAGCGCGACGTTGTTCTCCCCCACAGCGGACAGCACGGCCGAGTAGTGAACCAGCCAGCTGATGTTGTTGTTCACCACGATCTCCCTGAGGTTCTTATAGTCCAGGATGTCTGAGAAGATGAACGGACCTGCGGAGAGCACACGTGCATGAACACTTTCATCCAAGCTTTTTTTTTATGGGGGTGGCAGAATTCCAGAGTAGGTTGTACTGGAATACACACCATTGTGGTAGACGTGGTTGGGGGGTTTCCTGATGTCAGACAGGATCACGTTGTTCTTTCCAAAGCGTCTCCTGAGGGTGAAACATCAGCATAGGTCATAGGTGACAAAATGGCAACTGAAGAGGAGACTGCTGGCACTAAACATTTGAAATCAGAGCTTTTCTCCACACTCCTTACCTCAGCAACTTGGCGAGCCCCACCCCTAGCTGACCAAGCCCTCCTATAACGATAAAAAAAGTAAAAAGTAGACTGTGTTTTGATATTATAGAAGGAAACGTCCTAAAAACAAACAGATATAGCGACACAGAGAATGACCAACCAGTGATGAGGACTTTGGGGTGATCGGTATCAGCGCAGGACGGGGGATGAGTTTTCCCAAAGTGTCGCGAGGATGAGCTGACGCCGCGTGCTGCCGAGATCACCCTCTGGACGTTGCACCGGGGGCCGCTCCCAGCATGCTTCACTGCGCCCCTCAGCAACTGCATCACCGGCATTGCGCACCTTCCGCAAACATGATATTTATGGTGCATCTGCTACCATGGTGCACAGCAGTAAAGTTACATCACTACTAATTAACGCGCTTGTGTTAAGGGCATGAGCGTGTCGACACCCTGATGTACAGAGCAGTGTGTGCTTTTCTAAATTAATAAATGTCCACGTTGTCATATGTATTAAATTGTATCATTAAATCTGCACATTACATGTGATCAGATCTGATTTCTTCCGCTCTCTCCGACTGGTTCTCTATTTTCTTGTTGCTTCATCTTGGGGTTTTAAGTAGTCTTACCGATTAGTCTAAAGGCAGAAGTTTAAAGGCACATGTTGTGTGTATTTATTATGTAGGACCAGAACTCCACTACAAGTGAATGGAGTCTTGTCTAATCCCAGCACCTATGTAAGATTAGCTTCTCCCAGCCTGCTGCTGCTGACTTTATCTAAATATAGACTACTTCCTATGTATTCCAGACCACCCTTTAATCATATGGGGGGCAAGTCCGAAAACAATGCAATCCAGCATGTTAGTAGCCCTGCAATTGGTATTAAGTTCATGTATGGTGTATTGCAATAGTTACGTATTATGGTCTTTTAACTGCGTAACGTCATGCAGTACTGATATTACATATTCAGACTGTTTATGCCGAATTTAAAACGGCAACGTTACCCACGCGTTTATTTACGTCCTGTTTTAAGAGTTGGTCGTGTTTTCTTTACGACTTCGACGTGACCTTCTCGCCGTAAACTGCACTTGTGTTGAAACACGAACGTGCGGAACTGACGTTAGCCACGCATTGACCATTTGATAATGGGTAACGTTAGCCTAGCTATCGTCTAAGTTAACCGTCTGACATGAACTTTAGCTGAAGCTCTTATGCTTTACGTGCAACGGTTGCAGAGCGGCTCACATGAGAAACGTATAGTGATATTACGTTAATTTCTTACTTTAATGTGACTCGGGAACAATGAAAAGACGACTCGGGACTCCTTCAACCAGCCAGTGTTTTGTGTTGAAACATGAAAATAGTCGCGTGGCTATGAGGGAGGTTCGTTGCACTGTGATTGGCTCACAGCTCGAGAGGCTCGGCTCTCGAGCCGGCCCAGAATAGACACAAACTTCCGGTTATAACATTCAAAATAATGTCCGTATTTTCAAAATAAAATATTACCCTTTAACCTGAAGGAAATGGTAAACAAGCTAACTCCCTCTGCTCCAGTTGTTGTTGCTTGCATCTCATTTGTGAAACGGAACATGTGCACTAAATAGAATAATGCAATTCACCGCAAATTGTGCAAACAAAAAAAAAAATATACAAGTAGTTTATTACAAGGCTATTTTATTGATATGCATTACAGTGGATACGGGTTTCTATCCACTATAATCCCTACTATCCAAAACAGCTGTTACTGTCACTTTAACGAATAAGGGTGTAATAGTTTTCTTTGATGTCAGATATCTTTTGTTGCGTCCTTGAACGGGTGAAACAGCGCCCCCCCCGGGTTGTTATATCCTTACAGAATTATATCTGTGAGGGAAGAAGTTAATTAAAAAGTATTAGCTGAGTAAAGCTAAAACTGTCATGGCACCGCGAAACTGTGAATGGACTCTGTCAAAAGGAAACTGAAGAGAAGTGTGAAGCCAGCCACACTCTATCCTTTCAACAAACAATGGACATTTATTAACAATATTTCAATGAAACTATGGGCAAAATTAGCACGTTTGTCATTGTTGCTAATGATATCAGCTAGCATATATACATATATATAAATAGCCAGCTACATTCAATTCTGTGCAAACAAATGCATGCTTATTAATTGCTCATTATTAATTATCAGAAGTTCAACACAAGGATAAATCACCGTGCAGCCGGACAAATGACAGGTGTGATTAACTTATTAAGTTTAAAGTTGAGATGTGTTCACGCAAGCCCCATAAAATGAACGGAACAAATTCCCGCTCCTGTAATTAAGATGGAATTGGGTGCCAGTCGTAACCTTGCCCCTGCTAATTATGTACAAGTGATTTATCCCCTGTTGCACGCGGGCAGATTCATCTGTGTCGTGCATTGCTAACTGAATGGTGGACAAAGTGTGTTCAATGGCCCACAACAGCTTTTAACACGGCTTTAATTCATTGTTGACTGAAATCAAATCTTAAATCTTAAATTATGAAACACTGACACTTCCAGCAAACTGCAGGCTTTCTTCTGTATTGTCGATATTTGTGTGCATGTCTGTGTTTGCTGGAGGCCACCAGGTGGCACTAGATACCAACACATCAAGAGGGATGCCTCTGTTATTCAGCCTGCTGGCCCATCAAATGCAAGAGAAATAATCACCACTTTTATTCTTTTATTCGTCTGCTGTGCCCTTTTCATTTCCTTTTTATTATCCATCATATCAAATAGCTGTCAGAATAACCACAAAAGGCAGTTATATCAGATGTTAAATCTACATCAAATTATGTTTTTTGCATGAGTGTTCTCATTCAAATGTTTTATGTTTGGAGTTTGCTTTATCTCTAAAGGAACTACTGGATGGTGAACTTAAAAATGCACAAAATTGCCAAAAATACCGTGTTTTTCAGCAGTAAATAAAGCCGGATTGATCCGCCTACCTCTGCACCCCAAAGCTTTTGGATATGAACCAATTTCTTTTTTTCTCGTGGATTCAGTTCCAGCTGTGCAGAATGGGCCACAATAGATGATGCATGTCTTATTGTTCATTTGTTTTCTGCCACTGTGGAGGTCTGCCAAATATCTGAAGATGTAGTGTGCACAAATTCCACGATTGTTTTGCTCATTGTTGCCTCCTGTACGTGCTTGAAATAATAGGAGGCTTTTTTTTTTCTTTCTTTTTTGCTGCGGCAGACAAGATATTCTTCTTTTCATGTGGAAATAATTATTGTTTACACACAAATGAATGTAATCACCTACTCCTGGTTGAAATAAATAATTTTACACTCACAAGAACACAATGAAGCGATGCCCTTTCGTACTATTACGAACGCTGTCAATACAGTAAATTATTAGCCTCCTTACAATGTGTTATGGTGGAAAACAGCGTTTCTTTTGGCAGCTACAGAAGGGATTCACATGTGTAATCATACAGTGCATTTACGCTTAAAAGTGTCAGTTTATTTGCTTCATTGTTTGCCCCGGAGCAAAGTGCCCACACAGCAACAGTGGTTGAATTATGCATTTAATACAAACTCTACTGATTTCACTCTAATTGTTGTTCGCGCTGCACACCGTTTATTTTCTCCCTTGTAATCGGCCGTGTTGGGAGGAGTATCGAGAACTTTCTACTTGGATAAAAATTGCAATACCATAGTGTAAAAACACTCAAAATCCTAATGTAAAAGTATTTGCAAAATGTCCACAGTCAGAGTAGAAATGATTGGCATATTATTATGGATGCATTAACATGCAAGCAGCATGTTAATGCTGTCAATGTGTGGCTAATTACTTTATATAATGTTGAGTATTGTAATCTACAACAATGAATCCCATTGTCTCTCAAATTAATGGAGCTGCTGTGATTTTCCTCGAACGCATTTGGCTTGAATAAAGAAAAAAAAAAAACAGTGTCGACTGTTTTGAATTATCAAAATAAAAGCCTCTCAGATATGACACATCTCCATTAATTAGCGGCTGTCTTTGCATTTTGCCTCCTCCTCGTTAATGCCGCCCACAAATGATTTGAGCTCAACGCACACCACTTGTCACAAGCCTCTAATATTTATAACACAGTCTGTTATACAAAGAACAGCATTATCTAATTGACATAACACGTGCTGTTCACAAATAGATATTTTCTAAGGATAAAACCCATCAGAAGATCAAGCCAGAGAATGTGGCCCTAAGTAACGGGGCTCTTATTGCGCCGTGAACGAGCTCGGCCCCCGATCCGTCCCAGCGTTCAGTCAATGTTCCCCTAATTCGCCATCATGACTCCGGCCACTAATGGATTGTAGGAGGCCTATTTATCGCCTTTAGGGAATTGAGGCTACATACAGTGTGTGAGGGGTTAATTAGAAACAACCGAAGGGGTCAGAGGTGTGTGTGTGTGTGTGTGTTGAGCACATGTGGTCATGAGAGGGCTGGACCTTCGGTAATAGTGGGGCGGATTTGAAAACGAGGATCCTCGGGAGAAGATTTATCCGCGGGCTGTGACACGGGGACAAATAGTGCTGATAGGTGAAGGCCTCTCGGTGTAGAGTCCAGTCCGGATAACAAATAGCTTGTATGTGTGCGTGTGTGTGTGTGTGTGTGTGTGTGTGTGTGTGTGTGTGTGTGTGTGTGTGTGTGTGTGTGTGTGTGTGTGTGAAAATAGGATACCAGACCATATTCACTTATCACTGAGTCAGGTACTTCCTCGAATCCGCTCTTGACATCCAGCAGGGACCCATTTCGCCTCTCTCACTCGCCTCTCTTGTTTCGTCCCTGTCTCTCTCTTTCTCCTCCCATCTATCTCTCTTCTCTTTAATACTCATATCCCCCCCCCCCCCCCCCTCCCTCCACGCCTCCCCCCCATCCCCTCTACCCTCACCTCGTCTCCTCCAGCGCTCTCAGCAGTATCTCCCCAGCCTCTCAGCTTCCCATATTACGCTGCCAGATAAGAGGAGGAGAAGGGCCCCACGACTGACAGGAACCCCAAATTAATTTACAAGCAACGGTGCTGATAGAACAGTCTTTATACAATATGAAGGGACAGGGAGTGACGCCTCGGAAGGCTCCACCGGGGAGAGAGGGCGACCGTGCTATCTTTGTAATTATAGGGAGAGACCTTGATCCGTCTCTTTTTTTCTCAATAAATAACTCTAGACACAAATCCAAGCTACTCCTATATATATATATTCATACATATTTATATTTATATGCATGCAATGAAGAAATCTGTTTGATTTCTTTCTTCTTCGTGGCTTACATTGCGCGTGATTTTATCGGACCTTGCATTCTGTGCTCTGACGGTAGCCCCCCCCCCCCCCCCTTTATCGCAGCGATTCGCCACAGCTCTATGGCCTAATAGGCTTATACTGCGCCATAGAATGTGAAGAAATGTAAGTGGATTAAGCAAATCACTTTTATATAGTATTCATTAGTCACTGCCAACAGCTGATGTCGGACCAGAGCTTCTGCTGTGGGAGCCGTTACGAGTTGTTGTCGCCTCCAGAATGAGGAGACGATGTAGGAGTCTGCCCGCTGGCCCCTCGCTCTCTGATTGGCTGCCAACATTTGTCCCATAGATGCACAGACAAAGGTATCAAGCTACCCTGTACAAGGTAAGTTGTGTTTTACAAAGTCATATAGATTGAACAGTACGCTCCTCACCTTCCAATGGCCCACAACCTTAAGACCAGATAAAGACCGTCGGGACCAAACTGATAGAAGCATTACATCCACATGGTGTCCTTCCCAAAGCACAGGAATGGATTTGTTGACATAGTTTGGAGGCTAAATGCTTTGCGAGCTGTGAAATGGGTTATTTGTTGAAGCCCGTTTTTTTTTGGGGG